GTGTTGGTCGCAGGTTTCTCTACGTCGTTTTAGAGAATTTGGCAGTACGTCCAACCGGCCTCACAACCGCAGACCACGTGTAACCACCCCAGCCCAGGACCTTCACATCCGGCTTCTTCACCTGCGGGTGCTGAAACGGAGGAGTATTTTGTCTGTAATAAAGCCCGTTTGTTGGGAAAAACAGATTCTGATTGGCTGGGCCTGGCTCCCAAGTGGGTGGGCCTATGCCCTCCCAGGCCCACCCATATGTGCCCCTGCCCAGTCATGTGAAATCCATAGATTAGGGCCTAATACATTTATTTCAATTGGCTGATTTCCTTATATGAACTGCAACTCAGTAAATTCGTTGAAATTGTTGCATGCTGCGTTTATCTTTTTGTTCAGTATATATATATATATACACACACATACACATAGTGCATTCGGAAACTAATCAGACCCATTGACTTTTTCCACATTTTGTTACGTGACAGCCTTATTCTAAAATGTATTACATGTATTTTTCCTCATCAATGTCCACATAATACCCCATAATGACAAAACGAAAACAGGTTTTTAGAAATTTTTGCAAATGTACTAAACATAACAAACAGAAATACCTTATTTACATAAGTATTCAGACCCTTTGCTATGAGACTCAAAATTGAGTTCAGGTACATCCTGTTTCCATTGATCATCCTTGAGATGTTTCTACAACTTCATTGGAGTCCACCTGTGGTACATTTAATTGATTGGACTTGATTTGGAAAGGTACAAACTTGTCTATGTAAGGTCCCACAGTTGACAGTGCATGTCAGAGCAAAAACCAAGCCATGAGGTCAAATGAATTGTCTGTAGAGCTCCGAGACAGGATTGTGTCGAGGCAGAGATCTGGAGAAGGGTACCAAAACATTTCTGCATCATTGAAGGTCCCCAAGAACACAGTGGCCTCCATCATTCTTAAATGGAAGAAGTTTGGTACCACCAAGACTCTTCCTAGAGCTGGCCGCCCAGCCAAACTGAGCAATCGGGGGAGAAGGGCCTTGGTCAGGGATGTTTTTTAGTGGCAGGGACTGGGAGAATAGTCAGGATCGAGGGAAAGATTAATGACGTAAAGTACGGAGAGATCCTTGATGAAAACCTGCTCCAGAGCGCTCAGGACCTCAGACTGGGGAGAAGGTTCACCTTCCAACAGGACAACGACCCTAAGCACACAGCCAAGACAATGCAGGAGTGGCTTCGGGACAAGTCTCTGAATATCCTTGAGTTGCCCAGCCAGAGCCCAGACTTGAACTCGATCGAACGTCTCTGGAGAGACCTGAAAATAGCTGTGCAGTGACACTCCCCATCCAACCTGACAGACCTTGAGAGGCTCTGCAGAGAAGAATGGAAGAAACTCCCCAAATACAGGTGTGCCAAGCTTGTAGCGTCATACCCGAGAAGACTTGAGGCTGTAATCACTGCCAAAGGTGCTTCAACAAAGTACTGAGTAAAGGGTCTGAATACTTATGTAAATGTGGTATTTCAGCTTTTTATTTTTAATAATTTGTAAGTCGCTCTGGATAAGAGCGTCTGCTAAATGACGTAAATGTAAATGTAATAACTTTGCTAAAATGTCTAAAAACGTGTTTTTGCTTTGTCATTATGGGGTATTGTGTGAGGGAAAAAACATTTTAATCAATTTTAGAGTAAGGCTGTAATGTAACAAAATGTGGAAAAGTCAAGGGGTCTGAATACTTTCCAAATGCACTGTATGCATGTATGTATGTATGTATGTATGTATGTATGTATGTACAGTGAGGGTATTGGATCCCCTGCTGATTTTGTACGTTTGCCCACTGACAAAGAAATGATCAGTCTATAATTTTAATGGTAGGTTTATTTGAACAGTGAGAGACAGAATAACAACAACAAAATCCAGAAAAATGCATGTCAAAAATGTTATAAATTGATTTGCATTTTAATGAGGGAAAAAAGTATTTGACCCCCTCTCAATCAGAAAGATTTCTGGCTCCCAGGTGTCTTTTATACAGGCAACGAGCTGAGATTAGGAGCACACTCTTAAAGGGAGTGCTCCTAATCTCATCTTGTTACCTGTATAAAAAGACACCTGTCCACAGAAGCAATCAATCAATCAGATTCCAAACTCTCCACCATGGCCAAGACCAAAGAGCTCTCCAAGGATGTCAGGGACAAGATTGTAGCCCTACACAAGGCTGGAATGGGCTACAAGACCATCGCCAAGCAGCTTTGTGAGAAGGTGACAACAGAAGAAACACAAAAGCACTGTCAATCTCCATCGGCCTGGGGCTCCATGCAAGATCTCACCTCGTGGAGTTGCAATGATCATGAGAACGGTGAGGAATCAGCCCAGAACTACACGGGAGGATCTTGTCAATGATCTCAAGGCAGCTGGGACCATAGTCACCAAGAAAACAATTGGTAACACACTACGCCATGAAGGACCCGCAAGGTCCCCCTGCTCAAGAAAGCACATATACAGGGCCGTCTGAAGTTTGCCAATGAACATCTGAATGATTCAGAGGAGAACTGAGTGAAAGTGTTGTGGTCAGATGAGACCAAAATCAAGCTCTTTGGCATCAACTCAACTCGCTGTGTTTGGAGGAGGAGGAATGCTGCCTATGACCCCAAGAACACCATCCCCACCGTCAAACATGGAGGTGGAAACATTATGCTTTGGGGGTGTTTTTCTGCTAAGGGGACAGGACAACTTCACCGCATCAAAGGGACGATGGACAGGGCCATGTACCCTCAAATCTTGGGTGAGAACCTCCTTCCCTCAGCCAGGGCATTGAAAATGGGTCGTGGATGGGTATTCCAGCATGACAATGACCCAAAACACATGGCCAAGGCAACAAAGGAGTGGCTCAAAAAGAAGCACATTAAGGTCCTGGAGTGGCCTAGCCAGTCTCCAGACCTTAATCCCATAGAAAATCTGTGGAGGGAGCTGAAGGTTCGAGTTGCCAAACGTCAGCCTCGAAACCTTAATGACTTGGATCTGCAAAGAGGAGTGGAACAAAATCCCTCCTGAGATGTGTGCAAACCTGGTGGCCAACTACAAGAAACGTCTGACCTCTGTGACTGCCAACAAGGGTTTTGCCACCAAGTACTAAGTCATGTTTTGCAGAGGGGTCAAATACTGATTTCCCTCATTAAAATGCAAATCAATTTATAACATTTTTGACATGCGTTCTTCTGGATTTTTTTGGTTGTTATTCTGTCTCTCACTCTCCAAATAAACCTACCATTAAAATTATAGACTGATCATGTCTTTGTCAGTGGGCAAACGTACAAAATCAGCAGGGATCAAATACTTTTTTCCCTCACTGTATATATATATATATATATATATATATATATATATATATATATACACACCCCCTGGATTGCTTACGCTATGTATTGGCCATTGAGAGGCTTTGAAGGCACCGGTCGAGTCCTTCATAGGAATGAATGGACTTCTACAGTATTTCAATTAAATGTTTCAAGGACAAACTTACATGTATTTAAGTATTTTATGTTGTAGTGGGGACAGTAACATTAGTACTTTCAAAAAAAAATACTTTAAGGAATATGTTTTTATGTTTTTTATTTAAATGTGTATGTTTAACTCACATTAAAAAAACATATATATATATAATTAAAAAGTATGCATTAAGGTGTCTGTAATATAATACATGTGTCAAAAACAAATGTAGACATTAATAAATGCATTTCTATAGCTTCTAAAATATTTTTTACAATGGAGGAGGAGTACCAAGTTGGCTATGCGGTGGCTACAATACAGCGCCTCCTATCAGTCATCCAGGGTTTATATGCATCATTGTGTGGGTGTCTATTTTGTGTGTTCGTAGGTGGGAACAGTTAGCCAAATTATTTTACCAATTAGCTTCAGCAGGCTGGTGTGCGACTGTGGCAAAATTGGTTTGACTTTGGATAGCCTATCTCCGGGGCTAGTAAGTGACCGTCAATAAATTACACAATGTAATGAGATAATATTTTCATGTTGCTCACCTTTTAGTTCACATTAAATGCTTTCAAAATGTGTATATGAATTTACACAACTTATAGTTGGGTTGTGGCTTTTAAGTTATTTAAATTTGGAGCTATTGGAATTTTTACATTGTCCCATGTACATTGTGTAATTTACCGATGGTCCCCAACTAGCCACATAGGGATATTTAAAGTCAATGCTTGTCCTTGAATCTCTTCTGAGCTATTTTTACATGCACAACCACTACACCGTGAGTAATGCTTGAATATAGGACAAGCAGAACAGAAGATGCAGTATGATGCAGAAACTGTACCACATTTTAATTATGTATAAAGCATCTCTAGGCTGACAGAGGGCACATGCACAGTGCATGGGCAGTAGTAGACTGAGGGGGAGGAGTCATCGGAGTCCAGCTGGATTATAATAGGCAAGGGGGGAGGAAGAGAGACAACGCTATCTATGCAAATCCGCCTGTATCTATAGGCAATCACTGGGAATGAACCAGCCCTATTGTGTGGTGAATGAATTCTAGCTCCGGCTATCTCATTGCGAACAGGATTCTGCAGTCTCATCTCTGTGTGTGAATAGACAAAAAAACCACAGGGGGTTATGACCGTGTAAAATACATTGTGTATTGTCAGTGAGTGGCCATTTACACATTTGACAATAACTGCAAGCATGTCATTTATGTATTTGACAAAGAGCGCATGTAGTTTACGTCATTGTAGCTTCCAAAAACTTTACAGCCACAACTAACTTGAATTAAGTAACAATACGGGAATGTCAACAAGAGAATGTTTAGGTGATACATCCAATCATTACCAACCGTTGTATAGCACTGGTATTTTGCACTCACACAGTTCACGGAATTGTGTATTTATAGTATGTAGCCTACCGCTAGATATGTCAGAGAGGCTTTAGTTTGCGCCATAATGCTTTAAAATCAACAACAGCCTTTTAAATTACGGTCCATTTGTATAAGGTAATACAAATTTACAGAACATATTCATTTTCTGTGTGTGGTCCACAATATTTGTGCTGAGCACACCACGCTCTTACTAAGGGAACCTTGACGCACATTTTTAATCAAGCTGTGTCGTACCTGATTGGTCGTCTCTGTGATAGCCACCAGCAGTTTCTCTACGGCGGCCTGGAGGCGGGAGCTAATATTCATGAGGTACTCCTCGTTCTCCAGCTGAAGCTCCGCTCCTGGCAACAGGCTGTCAGTCATCATCTGCTGGGACATCTCCAGGCCCTCGTCCGTCTCCATCTCGCCCGACCACACGCTCACATCGTCCACCCCAGTCTCGCTACCTTGGCAACTCTCAGTGGTCGACGCATCTGGGCAGGAAATACCTAAATGGAGGGCAAGGTTAATTGTCAGGAGAATACACTTCATTGGAAAATAATAGTGTTCATTGTCACCAATATCAACCATTCATTCATTTAATCATTTTCATCCAAACAATTAAATTTTTGGCAAAGCATTTAACAACAATTATAATATAAGGGATTAATCAGACACAAGGCTTCCGAGGAGTTGCCCATCCCTTCCTTGGTCTAGTAGTCTGAGCACTGTCCTTGTGCTAATATCAAATCAAAATCCAATTAAATTGTATTGGTCACATACACATAATTAGCAGATGTTATTGCAGGTGTAGTGAAATGCTTGTGTTCCTAGCTCCAAGAGTGCAGTTGTATCTAACAATTCACAACAATACACACAAATCTAAAAGTAAAAGAATGGATTTAAGAAATATATAAATATTAGGACGAGCAATGTCGGAGTGGTAATGACTAAAATACAGTAGAATACAGTATATACATATGAAATGAGTAAAACAGTATGTTAACATTATTAAAGTGACTAGTGTTCCATTATTAAAGTGACCAGTGATTCCATGTCTATGTACATAGGGCAGCGGCCTCTAAGGTGCAGGGATGAGTAACCGGGTGGTAGCCGGCTAGCGATGGCTATTTAACAGTCTGATGGCGTTGAGATAGAAGCTGGTTTTCAGTCTCTTGTCCCAGCTTTGATGCACCTGTACTGACCTCGCCTTCTGGATGATAGCGGGGTGAACAGGCCGTGGCTCGGGTGGTTGATGTCCTTTATGATCTTCTTGGCCTTCCTGTAACATTGGGTGCTGTAGGTGTCCTGGAGGGCAGGCAGTGTGCCCCCGGTGATGAGTTGGGCAGCCCACACCACCCTCTGGAGAGCCTTGCGGTTACGGGCGGTGCAGTTGCCGTACCAGGCGGTGATACAGCCCGACAGGATGCTCTCAATTGTGCATCTGTAAAAGTTTGAGAGGGTCTTAAGGGCCAAGCTGCATTTATTCAGCCTCCTGAGGTTGAAGAGGCGCTGTTGTGCTTTCTTCACCACGCTGTCTGTGTGGGTGGACCATTTCAGACTGTCAGTGATGTGTACGCCGAGGAACTTGAAGCTTTTCACCTTCTCCACTGCGGTCTCATCGATGTGGATGGGGGCGTGCTCCCTCTGCTGTCTCCGGTAGTCCACGATCAGTTCCTTTGTTTTGTTGACGTTGAGGGAGAAGTTATTTTCCTGGCACCACTCCGGCAGGGCCCTCACCTTCTCCCTGTAGGCGGTCTCGTCATTGTTGGTAATCAGGCCTACTACCGTTGTGTCTTCTGCAAACTTGATAATTGAGTTGCGTGACCATGCAGTCATGGGTGAACAGGGAGTACAGGAGGGGCTGAGCACGCACCCTTGTGGGGCCTGTGTTGAGGATCAGCGTAATGGAGGTGTTGTTTCCTACCTTCACCACCTGGGGGGGGCGTCAGGAAGGCCAGGACCCAGTTGCACAGGCGGGGTTCAGACCCAGGGCCCCAAGCTTAATGATGAGCTTGGAGGGTACTATGGTGTTGAAGGCTGAGCTAGTCAATGAACAGCATTCTTACATAGGTATTCCTCTTGTCCAGATGGGATAGGGCAGTGTGCAATGCGATGGCGATTGCATCGTCTGTGGATCTGTTGGGGCAGTATGCAAATTGAAGTGGGTCTAGGGTGTCAGGTAAGGTGGAGGTGATATGATCCTTAACTAGCCTCTCAAAGCACTTCATGATGACAGGAGTGAGTGCTACGGGGCGATAGTCATTTAGTTCAGTTACCTTTGCTTTCTTGGGCACAGGAATAATTGTGGACATCTGGAAGCCAGTAGGGACAGCAGACTGGGATAGGGAGATATTGAATATGTCCGTAAACACTCCAGCCAGCTGGTCTGCGCATGCTCTGAAGACACGGCTAGGGATGCAGTCTGGACCGGCAGCCTTGCGAGGGTTAAGACGCTTAAATGTCTTACTGACCTTGGCCACAGAGAACGAGAGCCCACAGTCTTTGGGAGCGGGCCGCGTCGGTGGTACTGTGTTATCCTCAAAGTGGGCAAAGAAGGTGTTTAGCTTGTCCGGGAGCAAGACGTCTGTGTCCGCAACGTGGCTGGTTTTCCCTTTGCAATCCATGATTGTCTATTGTCTGTAGACCCTGCCACATACGTCTCGTGTCTGAGCCGTTGAATTCCAACTCCACTTTTTCTCTGTACTGATGTTTTGCCTGTTTGATTGCCTTACGGAGGGAATAACTACACTGTTTGTATTCAACCATATTCCCAGTCACCTTGCCGTGGTTAAATGCGGTGGTTCGCACTTTCAGTTTTGCGTGAACACTGCCATCTATCCACGGTTTTTGGTTTGGGTAGGTTTTAATAGTCACAGTGGAAACAACATCCCCTATACACTTCCTGATGAACTCAGTCACCGTGTCCGTGTATACATCAATGTTATTCTCAGAGGCAACCCGGAACATATCCCAGTCTGCGTGATCAAAACAGTCTTGAAGCATGGATTCCGATTGGTCAGACCAGCATTAAATAGACCTTAGTACAGGTACTTCCTGTTTGAGTTTCTGCCTATAAGAAGGGAGGAGCAGAAAGTGAAGGGGATACCTAGTCAGTTGTACAACTGCACGCATTCAACTGAAATATGTCTTCCGCATAGAATGGAGTCGTGATCTGATTTGCCGAAGGGAGGGTGGGGGAGGGCCTTGTAGCCATCCTGGAAGGAGCGTAACAATGGTTGAGAGTTTTTCAAGCGTGAGTAGTACAGGTAATGTGTTGATAGAACTTCTGTAGCGTTTTCCTCAATATGCTTTGTTAAAATCACCAGCTACAATATCACATTCATACTACTACAGTCTCAATCCTAGCTGACTGGTAGTGCCACCCCAGACACGACCACACACACTAAACAGCAAAGAACAGACATTTAATTATCCACAATTGCCTCTTTATTCTCAGGAGGGACACAAGTCATCTCTATTTTCTCTACTTCTTTCTCCTTCTCTCTTTTCAGTGCATTGGTCCACACTTTTCTAGCAAGGGAATGCAGGGGGAGAGAGTACGGATCAGTTGGCATCTTCTATCATGACTGCTAACCGCACTTGAATGCAAATACACATGCCACAGACACCATGCAAGTTGTAAGGATATGTGTGCTTGATACCAGAGTATGAGATGACGGTGAAGGGGGAAGAGGGGAATCCTGAATGTCATGTACTTTGTGAAAACAAAATCTCAATAACAATATCCTCTTGGAAGGAGTCAGTACTATTGTGCACATTGATTATTTTTCAGTTTATCCAAACATCAAGTTCACTTCACAGTCAAATAAACCCTGTCAACAGCTATACTTCATTGATAAAAAACCAGAACATATGAAAAAGGTTTTTAAAAAAGTCAAACGGTTGGTTAACTAGCAAGTTCTCTGAACTGTAAAATCTAACCACAATAATTAACCCTAGTTATGCATTTGTGCGTGCGTGTGTCTGTTTTACATGTGCATATGCACACTACAGTATGTGTGTGTACACGCGTGTGTATGTGTGTTTCGTGTGTGTAGAGAGGGCAGGCAGATGTTTACTTGAGGGGAGATGTTCGCACACTAGAGCAGACTTCACCACTTAAAGGAATACTGCAGGATTCTGGCATTTATCTATTTACCCAGAGTCAGATTAACTTGTAAATAACATGTTTATGTCTTTGCGTGCAGTATGAAGGAAGTTAGCAGTAGTTTCGCTAACTAGCTTTACTACTGTACCTGTGGACTTCCAGTCATTGCACTTAAATGCCAGAATCTCGCAGTATCCCCTTAAGCCTGTAGACACAGAACGGAGAGGCATATGGTTAAGCTTGGCAGGGCATTGTGTCTTAAAACACACTTGTCTTGTTTGGGGACTCCGCCTTTGGGCCACATACCAAGAGATGAGTATATAGATGCTAAGGAGTGTAATGGTATAACTACTATTGTCTGATAGTTAGGGAGTGGTTGGGGGAATAGATGGACCATAACATTGAAGGTTCAAATCCAGGGTTGGGTATACTGCTGTTGTGCCCTTGAGCAAGTGCACCTGACCTCAATTGCTTCATTCAGCTATCTAGTCGTGTGATTCTATGATGTGTGAAATAAAGGTTATGAGCAAATACTGTATGGAGGCAATTATACGTTCTGTTAAAACCAGGTAGTCGTATGGGGCAGCGACCAGGAAAAACTCTGAGCCCTACAATAATTATTCTGATTGGCTGGGCCTGGCTCAGTGGGTGGGCCTATGCCCTCCCAGGCCCACCCATGGCTGTGCCCCTCATCAGTCTAGTGAAATTCATAGTTTTGGGCCTTTTGAATTTATTTCAATTGATTTATTTACTTACATGAACTGTAACTCTGTAAAATCTTAATTGTTGTATGTTGAGTTATATTTTTGTATAGGAATTTTCCCCCTGTATCCTTAGCAGCTTGGTTCGGTACGCAGTTGACTTTCACACAAACTGTATACAAGTTTTGAATATTGGCAAAGTAAACGATATATACTCAGTTTATTAGGTACACCCATCTAGTACCGGGTCGGAACCACCTTTGCCCCAAGAACAGCCAGAATTATTTGGGGCATGGAAACGTTGCTCAATTGGTATCAAGGGACCTAATGTGTGCCAGGAAAACATTCCCCACACCATTACAGCACCTGTACCGTTGACAACAGGCAGGATGGGGCCATGTACTCAAGCTGCTTACGCCAAATCCTTACTCTGCCATCAGCATGACGCAACAGGAACCGGGACTCGTCGGACCAGGCGATGTTTGTCTATTGTTGGTGATCGCGTGCCCACTGGAGCTGCTTCCTCTTGTTTTTAGCTGATAGGAGTAGAACCCATTGTGGTCGTCTGCTGCAATAGCCCATCCGTGACAAGGACCTACAAGTTGTACTGCGCCGTTATTTGCCTGTTTGTGGCCCTCCTGTTAGCTTGCACGATTCTTGCCATTCTCCTTCGACCTCTCATCAACTAGCTGTTCTCACCCACAGGACTGCAGCTGACTGGATGTTTTTTGTTTGTCACACCATTCTCGGTAAACCATAGACACTGTCGTGCGTGAAAAGCCCAGGAGGCTGACCGTTTCTGAGATACTGGAAGCGGCGCGCCTGGCACAGACGATCATACCACGCTCATAGTCGCTTAGGTCACTTGTTTTGCCCATTTTAACGTTCAATCGAACAGTAACTGAATGCCTTGATGCCTGTCTGCCTGCTTTATATAGCAAGCCACGGCCACGTGACTCACTGTCTGTAGGAGTGAACCATTTTCGTGAACGGGGTGGTGTACTCAAACTATCCACTGAGTGTACATCAACAATTCATTCAATTTGATGCATAGGTCCCACAGAGCAAGGTCCCATAAAGAAAGGTAGCAGGTAACCAGTCAGTCAGGACCTCTTTAGACTGGCAATAATGGTTTGAAACTGGCAAGACTTCATTAATTCTGATATTTACCATTTGCATTTTTGGCAATAAGTATTCTCTCTCCCCATCTTTCTTTCCTCTCCTGTGTATATTTCTGTTACACACCCAGACCTCAAACCTTGCACATCTACTTCTTTCCCTCCCTCATTTTATCTTCTTTTGGTTTTGTCTGGCTCTATTTAATGAAATCTAAATCATCTTGATGGAGTGGGATTGAGCTCTTCCAAGACTTCGATCCCCAAGGGGGCCTGATTGGTGTCATACTTTTGTTGCATCCCTAGCTACTAATCATGGTCTTCAGTTAAGAGTAATCAGATGTGTTGGTTAGAGATAAGGTCCGGAGGAGCCATATTGCTGACCCCATTTTACTTCTCACAACATACATAGGTGGTAGGGTTTGATTTGGAATTGGCTGCTCAACTAACCTCCAGCAGCCCCTGTGGCAGGCTTGAAGGGCTCACCAGCAGCTCTCTGCCAGGTGGGTCTCTGTAAGAAGGAAGGGGGTACCAGTAGCCCCTCCACGTGACGCCCGATGGTCTCCTCAGCGGCCGCTGTGGTCTTGAGCACATCACTCAGCACCTGGCGGAGGCTCTCATTGGCCTTACGCAGCAGATTCCTATGGAAAGAGAAAAAATAAAAAATAATATGTTGTTTGGACCAAAGATTATGGTCTTTCATTCACTTGAAACACATATTTTTGGTACGTGTGAGGTTGGCAAGATGCATATCGCACAAGTGCTTTGGTTAACCACATACAGTGAGGGAAAAAAGTATTTGATCCCCTGCTGATTTTGTACGTTTGCCCACTGGCAAATAAATGATCAGTCTATAATTTTAATGGTAGGTTTATTTGAACAGTGAGAGACAGAATAACAACAAAAAAATCCAGAAAAACGCATGTCAAAAATGTTATAAATTGATTTGCATTTTAATGAGGGAAGTAAGTATTTGACCCCCTCTCAATCAGAAAGATTTCTGGCTCCCAGGTGTCTTTTATACAGGTAACGAGCTGAGATTAGGAGCACACTCTTAAAGGGAGTGCTCCTAATCTCAGTTTGTTACCTGTATAAAAGACACCTGTCCACAGAAGCAATCAATCAATCAGATTCCAAACTCTCCACCATGGCCAAGACCAAAGAGCTCTCCAAGGATTTCAGGGACAAGATTGAAGACCTACACAAGGCTGGAATGGGCTACAAGACCATCGCCAAGCAGCTTGGTGAGAAGGTGACAACAGTTGATGCGATTATTCGCAAATGGAAGAAACACAAAAGAACTGTCAATCTCCCTCGGCCTGGGGCTCCATGCAAGATCTCACCTCGTGGAGCTGCAATGATCATGAGAACGGTGAGGAATCAGCCCAGAACTACACAGCAGGATCTTGTCAATGATCTCAAGGCAGCTGGGACCATAGTCACCAAGAAAACAATTGGTAACACACTACGCCGTGAAGGACTGAAATCCTACAGCGCCCGCAAGGTCTGCTCAAGAAAGCACATATACAGGGCCGTCTGAAGTTTGCCAATGAACATCTGAATGATTCAGAGGAGAACTGGGTGAAAGTGTTGTGGTCAGATGAGACCAAAATTGAGCTCTTTGGCATCAATTCAACTCGCCGTGTTTGGAGGAGGAGGAATGCTGCCTATGACCCCAACACCACCATACCCACCGTCAAACATGGAGGTGGAAACATTATGCTTTGGGGGTGTTTTTCTGCTAAGGGGACAGGACAACTTCACTGCATCAAAGGGACGATGGACAGGGCCATGTACCGTCAAATCTTGGGTGAGAACCTCCTTCCCTCAGCCAGGGCATTGAAAATGGGTCGTGGATGGGTATTCCAGCATGACAATGACCCAAAACACACGGCCAAGGCAACAAAGGAGTGGCTCAAGAAGAAGCACATTAAGGTCCTGGAGTGGCCTAGCCAGTCTCCAGACCTTAATCCCATAGAAAATCTGTGGATGGAGCTGAAGATTTGAGTTGCCAAACGTCAGCCTCGAAACCTTAATGACTTGGAGAAGATCTGCAAAGAGGAGTGGGACAAAATCCCTCCTGAGATGTGTGAAAACCTGGTGGCCAACTACAAGAAACGTCTGACCTCTGTGATTGCCAACAAGGGTTTTTCCACCAAGTATTTGTAACATTAATAACATTTTTGACATGCGTTTTTCTGGATTGTTTTGTTGTTATTCTGTCTCTCACTGTTCAAATAAACCTACCATTAAAATTATAGACTGATCATGTCTTTGTCAGTGGGCAAACGTACAAAATCAGCAGGGGATCAAATACTTTTTTCCCCTCACTGTATGTACATAGAAACATGTGGTACTTGGTCATATTCATCTCTTTTTGAAGAAACTTTTGTGTTGAAAAATAAAAATAAAGTAGCTAAAATATTTTAATTTTGGTCTTTAAGAGCAGCCTTCGGAAAGTATTCAGACCCCTTGACTTTTTCCACATTGTTATGTTACAGCCTTATTCTAAAATTGATTAAATTGTTTTTTTTTCCCCTCATCAATCTACACACAATACCCCATAATGACAAAGCAAAAACAGGTTTTTAGAAATTTCTGCTAATTATTATTATTTTTACCCAGGAAATATCAAATTTACATAAGTATTCAGACCCTTTAGTCAGTACTTTGTTAAAGCAACTTTGGCAGCGATTACAGCATTGAGTCTTCTTGGGTATGACGCTACAAGCTTGGCACATCTGTATTTGGGGAGTTTCTCCCATTCTTCTCTACAGATCCTCTCAAGTTCTGTCAGGTTGAATGGGGGGCGTTGCTGCACAGCTACTTTCAGGTCTCTCCAGAGATGTTCGATCGGGTTCAAGTCCGGCCTCTGGCTGGGCCACTCAAGGACATTTAGAGACTTGTCCCGAAGCCACTCCTGCGTTGTCTTGGCTGTGAGCTTAGGGTCGTTGTCCTGTTGGAAGGTGAACCTCCGCCCCAGTCTGAGGTCCTGAGCGGTTCTGGAGCAGGTTTTCATCAAGGATCTCTCTGTACTTTGCTCCGTTCTTCTTACCTTGATCCTGACTAGTCTCCCAGTCCCTGCCGCTGAAAAACATCCCCACAACATGATGCTACCACCACCATGCTTCACTGTAGGGATGGTGCCAGGTTTCCTCCAGACGTGACGCTTGGCATTCAAGCCAAAGCGATCAATCTTGGTTTCATCAGACCAGAGAATCTTGTTTCTCATGGTCTGAGAGTCTTTAAGTGCCCTTTGGCAAACTCCAAGCTGTCTGTCATGTGCCTTTTACTGAGGAGTGGCTTCTGTCTGGCCACTCTACCATTAAGGCCTGATTGGTGGAGTGCTGCAGAGTTGGTGGTCCTTCTGGAAGGTTCTCCCATCTCCACAGAGGAACTCTAGAGCTCTGTCAGAGTGACCATCAGGTTCTTGGTCACCTCCCTGACCAAGGCCCTTTTCCCCCGATTGCTCAGTTTGGCCGGGCAGCCAGGTCTAGGAAAGAGTCTTGGTGGTTCCAAACTTCTTCCATTTAAGAATGATGGAGGCCACTATCTTCAATGCTGCAGAAATGTTTTGGTACCCTTCCCCAGATCTGTGTGTTGACACAATCCTGTCTCGGAGCTCTATGGACAATTCCTTCAACCTCATGGCTTGGTTTTTGCTCTGACATGCACTGCCAACTGTGGGACCTGATACAGACAGGTGTGTGCCTTTCCAAATCATGTCCAATCAACAGAATTTACCAAAGGTGGACTCCAATCAAGTTTTAGAAACATCTCAAGGATGATCAATGGAAACACGATGCACCTGAGCTCAATTTTGAGTCTCATAGCAAAGGGTCTGAATACATACGTGAATAAGGTATCGGTTTATTATTTTTAATACATTTGCAAAAATGTCTAAAAAACTGTTTTCGCATTGTCATTATGGGGTATTTTGTGTAGATTGATGAGGATTATTATTTTTTAAATCCATTTTAGCATAAGGCTGTAACTTATCAAAATGTGGAGAAGGTAAAGGGGTCTGAATACTTTCCGAAGGCACTGTATATACAAGTATTACATTGTCATAGTATATAACACAGCTTATACTTAGACATTTTAGTATAGGTCGGGTCCCTTGTCCATCTAACCTTTTATCAGTTCATATGTGGGTATAAAAAATAAAACAATTCTCTGGTCGAAAATGTACAATAAATGTGCAGAGGTAAAATCATGACGTGCACAGGAGTTAAATATGTTCTCTACAATATAAATGAAATAGAAACTACAGAACATTTCTATCGTTCTATAGTCATACCTCTCAGAAGTGATAACCTGATGATCTGGACAGGAAGAGTCATCCCCTCTATCTTGTGATGAGACATTTCCACCCACGGCCCTCTTCCTCCTGACCTCTTCATCTTCCTCTCCTTCCTCTTCTCCCCTCTTCTGCAGTGGATGGACCGGCAGGAGGGAGAAGAACGACAACAGCCCTGTCATTATCACCCGTTTACAAAAAAGCACACACTTCCACACTGAGTTGACGATTCCTGGAAACATGAGATGGCGACGGCCAGGCGAGCTGAAGGCATGACCATTATAAGAAATGTGAACTCAAATCAGACGAGAGTCGTAGCTCGCACCAATACACACAGACAAACACACACACACACACTCACAAACACATTCACCTCCATCCAAGCCAGGGAAACACTAGTATCTTTGTGCTGTTATGGCAACAGGTGCACCTGAGTCAATGGGCTGATGCAGGAAGTAGAGTGGCACCCTCTCATGGTGAGGGAACAGAAATGCTGCTCATTCAGATAGAATACTAATCAACAGATGTTCACGTTGATTCCTAAATGACCACATTGTGTGTACTGGTGAAAGATGTTGAGGTTTCTGCAACAATCTTTTTACCTTTGAGCTCCAATCTTTATATTTCGTAATTTGGTTGAGATTAACAGTTTGACATTTAAATTAAACGAAAAACTATTATAGAGTAGGTACTCTTCATGTCATAATAAGTCAGGCTATTATGCAAAGAGCACATATAGTCCCAACTGAACGTCAGTAAATGCAGTCAATAGATTAACAGGATTTAATGTACTGAGGGTATAACATATTAATAACTAAACACATCAAGGGGCCAAAAGTGACAGCCATCATGGGCCTTCGGGGGCTGGATGCATAAAAATAGCATAAAGACATTTCAATTCACACTACTGAGAGAGAGTCTCCATTCATCAAACACTGCATAACATTTAGGGTTTCTGAACGAAACTATTTCCATTCACACCCCTGAGGGATTAGTCTCTATTCATCATCACTGAAACACTGTATAATTTAGGCGTTCTGAACACAACTTTGAAGACATTTCAACTCACACTACTGAGAGTAAGTCTCCATCAAACACTGAAAAACTGCATTATCATTATGGATTCTGAGTGCAACTCTGATGTCTTTTAGGCTGAGGTGTAAAGTAGTAGAGGTGCAACTGAACTGTAAAATAAAAATATAACCTTTTCTTTCTGTGAGCCTCTGCTTTTCATTTGCGGTGTTGCTCTTTCCTTCTTTCCACTTTCTTTTCTCTCACTCTCTCCATCTCCATCAGAGGAATAACCCATCTGCAATCAAAAAGCAAGTAGTCTAAATTTATTAAATGACCAAAATTATAACATTCACAATAACATAAAATGACTGTTTGATGCATCATAGTTTGACTCAAAATGTTAGAACATTTGTGAAGCAGTGGCGTGAACATTATGTGGTAGCTAAACAAACCCAAAAATCTAAACGAAAAGTTAGTATGACATATACTTTTTGGCGTTGCGTTAGTTTATGTCTAGCACTTACTTTAGGTGACAATGCTAGCAAACAGGCTATGGTCTTCCTAAAGAAAAATGCACTTTGTGGGTGTAGCCAATATGGCAGCCGAGTGAAGCATCTTCGGTTAGACATCACAGCCTCTTCAATTAGAAACACTTTGGACATGATGTGATAGTAGGCTATGGCTTAGGCTAAAAAAAGCACTGAGAAAAAGAGCTAGAAGGAGCAGGAGGGACAACTAGTGTAAGGACACAGTGTTATCCTTCAAAAGACCCCTGAAGGGTTTGTACAAAGCAAACCGCATCATGTGAGGTATAATAATATCCCTCCCCAGGCGATCAAGTGGTTTAACCCACTAAGTGCTTCTCAATATGGAGATAATTGGGTTAGAAGAGACAACACTTGGCAGGTGGATGAAAATCACTTCCCTTCATTTTCAAACTCCTCATTTAACACAGAACTACATTCAGCTTCAGCGGAGGGTGGTTTTATGTGGTCTTTTAGACTGCATGTTTCGAAGAGCTTAAAAACTCTTCCAAGTGCTAAGCCTGTGCATCTTAGCACCTGATGCCAACCTAGGTGTCGAAACCATAAATAAAAAGTGAACACATGCTACTGTGCAAATCAAACTCACTCATTAAAGCACTATCCAGAAATCCCCCAATGCTAACCTGCTCAGATCCTGGACCTATGCGCCGAAGCTGCTCTTTAATCCCATGGAGCTCCGCAGTCCTCTCCTCCAGCTCTTTCTCCAGCCTTTCTTTCTCCTCTGCGAACCTCCTCTGCACCTCCTCCAGAGAGATCCCCTTGGTGAGTGAGCTCCTGGGGGTCTGCTCCTCCTCTTCCTCCCCTTCCTCGTCGGAGTGGGTCTGCATGGCTGAGGTGGTCTCGCGGGCACTCTTGGTGATTCGGGCCAATTCGCTCTGCTGGGCAAACTCCACCAACATCTGAACTATGACCTAGGAGAGATGCATACAGTGAGGGAAAAAAGTATTTGATCCCCTGCTGATTTTGTACGTTTGCCCACTGACAAAGAAATGATCAGTCTATACTTTTAATGGTAGGTTTATTTGAACAGTGAGAAACAGAATAACAGAAAAATCCAGAAAAACGCATGTCAAAAATGTTATAAATTGATTTGCATTTTAATGAGGGAAATAAGTATTTGAACCCCTCTCAATCAGAAAGATTTCTGGCTGCCAGGTGTCTTTTATACAGGTAACGAGCTGAGATTAGGAGCACATTCTTAAAGGGAGTGCTCCTAATCTGAGCTTGTTACCTGTATAAAAGACACCTGTCCACAGAAGCAATCAATCAGATTCCAAACTCTCCACCATGGCCAAGACCAAAGAGCTCTCCAAGGATGTCACGGACAAGATTGTAGACCTACACAAGGCTGGAATGGGCTACAAGACCATCGCCAAGCAGCTTGGTGAGAAGGTGACAACAGTTGGTGCGATTATTCGCAAATGGAAGAAACACAAAATAACTGTCAATCTCCCTCTGCCTGGGGCTCCATGCAAGATCTCACCTCGTAGAGTTGCAATGATCATGAGAACAGTGAGGAATCAGCCCAGAACTACACGGGAGGATCTTGTCAATGATCTCAAGGCAGCTGGGACCATAGTCACCAAGAAAACAATTGGTAACACACTACGCCGTGAAGGACTGAAATCCTGCAGCGCCCGCAAGGTCCCCCTGCTCAAGAAAGCACATATACAGGGCCATCTGAAGTTTGCCAATGAACATCTGAATGATTCAGAGGAGAACTGGGTGAAAGTGATGTGGTCAGATGAGACCAAAATCGAGCTCTTTGGCATCAACTCAACTCGCCGTGTTTGGAGGAAGAGGAATGCTGCCTATGACCCCAAGAACACCATCCCCACCGTCAAACATGGAGGTGGTAACATTATGCTTTGGGGGTGTTTTTCTGCTAAGGGAACAGGAAAACTTCACCGCATCAAAGGGACGATGGACGGGGCCATGTACCGTCAAATCTTGGGTGAGAACCTCCTTCCCTCAGCCAGGGCATTGAAAATGGGTCGTGGGTGGATATTCCAGCATGACAATGACCCAAAACACACAGCCAAGGCAACAAAGGAGTGGCTGAAAAAGAAGCACATTAAGGTCCTGGAGTGGCCTAGCCAGTCTCCAGACCTTAATCCCATAGATAATCTGTGGAGGGAGCTAAAGGTTTGAGTTGCCAAACGTCAGGCTCAAAACCTTAATGACTTGGAGAAGATCTGCAAAGAGGAGTGGGAGAAGATCTGCAAAGAGGAGTGGGACAAAATCCCTCCTGAGATGTGTGCAAACCTTGTGGCCAACTACAAGAAACGTCTGACCTCTGTAAATGCCAACAAGGGTTTTGCCACCAAGTACTAAGTCATGTTTTGCAGAGGGGTCAAATACTTACTTCCCTCATTAAAATGCAAATCAATTTATAACATTTTTTACATGCGTTTTACTGGATGTTTTTGTTGTTATTCTGTCTCTCACTGTTCAAATAAACCTACCATTAAAATTATAGACTGATCATGTCTTTGTCAGTGGGCAAACGTACAAAATCAGCAGGGGATCAAATACTTTTTTCTCTCACTGTATGAGGCATCATAGTGGAATAGTCCCACTGGCTATCATAAGGTGAATGCACCAATTTGTAAGTCGCTCTGGATAAGAGTGTCTGCTAAATGACAGAAATGTAAATGTAAATGTAAAATGAATGGTTTAAATGTACTGTTGATAAGTGAAAGAAAGAGGCAACAAAATATATAAAGTCTATTTTCAACTAAATGTAAAAGGCAATTCAATCTAGATAGAAGGACTAAAAGCACTGCTCCTCACAAATAAATGCTAAAAGAGCATCTTCCTATCAAAAGACCTTCGGTGCAGCTTAAAAAGTATGCTTTGTACATACAGTTGAAGTCGGAAGTTTACATACACCTTAGCCAAATACATTTCAACTCAGTTTTTCACAATTCCTGACATTTAATCCTAGTAAAAATTCCCTGTCTTTGGTCAGTTAGGATCAACCACTTTATTTTAAGAATGTGAAATGTCTGAATAATAGTAGAGAATTATTTATTTCAGCTTTTATTTCTTTCATCACATTCCCAGTGGGTCAGAAGTTTACATACACTCAATTTGTATTTGCTAGCATTGCCTTTAAATTGTTTAACTTGGGTCAAACGTTTCGGGTAGCCTCCACAAGCTTCCCACAATAAGTTGGGTGAATTTTGGCCCATTCCTCCTGACAGAGCTGGTGTAACTGAGTCAGGTTTGTAGGCCTCCTTGCTCGCACACACTTTTTCAGTTCTGCCCACACCATTTTTATAGGATTGAGGTCAGGGCCACTCCAATACCTTGACATGGTTGTCCTTAAGCCATTTTGCCACAACTTTGGAAGTATGCTTGGGGTCATTGTCCATTTGGAAGACCCATTTGCAACCAAGCTTTAACTTCCTGACTGATGTCTTGAGATGCTGCTTCAATATATCCACATAATTGTCCTTCCTCATGGCGCCATCTATTTTGTGAAGTGTACCAGTCCCTCCTGCAGCAAAGCACCCCCACAGCATGATGCTGCCACCCCCGTGCTTCACGGTTGGGATGGTGTTCTTCGGCTTGCAAGCCCCCCCCTTTTCCTCAAAACATAACGATGGTCATTATGGCCAAACAGTTCTATTTTTGTTTCATCAGACCAGAGGACATTTCTCCAAAAAGTACGATCTTTTTCACCATGTGAAGTTGCAAACCGTAGTCTGGCTTTATGGCGGTTTTGGAGCAGTGGCTTCTTCCTTGCTGAGCGGCCTTTCAGGTTATGTCGATATAGGACTCGTTTTATTGTGGATATACAGTCGTGGTCAAAAGTTCTGAGAATTACACAAATACTAATTTTCACAAAGTCTGCTGCTTCAGTTTTGATGATGGCAATTTGCATATACTCCAGAATGTCATGAAGAGTGATCAGACGAATTGCAATTAATTGCAAAGTCCCTCTTTGCCATGAAAATGAACTTAATCCCAAGAAAACATTTCCACTGCATTTCAGCCCTGCCACAAAATAGCCAGCTGCCATCATGTCAGTGATTCTCTCGTTAACACAGGTGAGAGTGTTGACGAGGACAAGGCTGAAGATCACTCTGTCATGCTGACTGAGTTAGAATAACAGACTGGAAGCTTTAAAATGAGGGTGGTGCTTGAAATCATTGTTCTTCCTCTGTTAACCATGGTTACCTGCAAGGAAACACGTGCCGTCATCATTGCTTTGCTCAAAAAGGGCTTCACAGGCAAGGATATTGCTGCTAGTAAGATTGCACCTAAATCAACCATTTTTCGGATCGTCAAGAACTTCAAGGAGAGAGGTTCAAATGTTGTGAAGAAGGCGTCAGGCCGCCCAAGAAAGTCCAGCAAGTGCCAAGACCGTCTCCTAAAGTTGATTCAGCTGCGGGATCGGGGCACCACCAGTGCAGAGCTTGCTCAGGAATGGCAGCAGGCAGGTGTGAGTGCATCTGCACGCACAGTGAGGCAAAGACTTTTGGAGGATGGCCTGGTGTCCAGAAGGGCAGCAAAGAAGCCACTTCTCTCCAGGAAAAACGTCAGGAACAGACTGATATTCTGCAAAAGGTACAGGGATTGGACTGCTGAGGACAGGGGTAAAGTCATTTTCTCTGATGAATCCCCTTTCCGATTGTTTGGGGCATCCGGAAAAAACCTTGTCCGGAGAAGACAAGGTGAGCGCTACCATCAGTCCTGTGTCATGCCAACAGTAAAGCATCCTGATACCATTCATGTGTGGGGTTGCTTCTCAGCCAAGGGAGTGGGCTCACTCACAATTTTTCCTAAAAACACAGCCATGAATAAAGAATGGTACCATCACATCCTCCGAGAGCAACTTCTCCCAACCATCCAAGAACAGTTTGGTGACGAACAATGCCTTTTCCAGCATGATGGAGCACCTTGCCATAAGGCAAACGTGATAACTAAGTGGCTCAGGGAACAAAACATCGACATTTTGGGTCCATGGCCAGGAAACTCCCCAGACCTTAATCCCATTGAGAACTTGTGGTCGATCCTCAAGAGGCGGGTGGACAAACAAAAACCCACAAATTCTGACAAACTCCAAGCATTGATTATACAAGAATGGGCTGCCATCAGTCAGGATGTGGCCCAGAAGTTAATTGACAGCATGCCAGGGCGGATTGCAGAGGTCTTGAAAAAGAAGGGTCAACACTGCAAATATTGACTCTTTGCATAAACTTCATGTAATTGTCAATAAAAGCCTTTGACACTTATGGAATGCTTATAATTATACTTCAGTATATCATAGTAACATCTGACAAAAATATCTCATAACACTGAAGCAGCGAACTTTGTGAAGACCAATACTTGTGTCACTCTCAGAAAATTTTGACCACGACCGATACTTTTGTACCTGTTTCCTCCAGCATCTTCACAAGGTCCTTTGCTGTTGTTCTGGGATTGATTTGCACTTTTCGCACCAAAGTACGTTCATCTCTAGGAGACAGAACGCGTCTCCTTCCTGAGCAGTATGACGGCTGCGTGGTCCCATGGTGTATATCCTTGTGTACTATTGTTTTAGAGATGAACGTGGTACCTCCCAAGGATGAACCAGACATGTGGAGGTCTACAATTTTTTTTCTGAGGTCTTGGCTGATTTCTTTTGATTTTGCCATGATGTCAAGCAAAGCGCCACTGAGTTTGAAGGTAGGCCTTGAAATACAGTGGGGAAAAAAAGTATTTAGTCAGCCACCAATTGTGCAAGTTCTCCCACTTAAAAAGTTGAGAGAGGCCTGTAATTTTCATCATAGGTACACGTCAACTATGACAGACAAAATGAGAATTATTTTTCCAGAAAATCACATTGTAGGATTTTTAATGAATTTATTTGCAAATTATGGTGGAAAATAAGTATTTGGTCAATAACAAAAGTTTCTCATTACTTTGTTATATATCCTTTGTTGGCAATGACACAGGTCAAACGTTTTCTGTAAGTCTTCACAAGGTTTTCACACACTTTTGCTGGTATTTTGGCCCATTCCTCCATGCAGATCTCCTCTAGAGCAGTGATGTTTTGGGGCTGTCGCTGGGCAACACAGACTTTCAACTCCCTCCAAAGATTTTCTATGGGGTTGAGATCTGGAGACTGGCTAGGCCACTCCAGGACCTTGAAATGCTTCTTACGAAGTCACTCCTTCGTTGCCCGGGCGGTGTGTTTGGGATCATTGTCATGCTGAAAGACCCAGCCACGTTTCATCTTCAATGCCCTTGCTGATGGAAGGAGGTTTTCACTCAAAGTCTCACGATACATGGCCACATTCATTCTTTCCTTTACACGGATCAGTCGTCCTGGTCCCTTTGCAGAAAAACAGCCCCAAAGCATGATGTTTCCACCCCCATGCTTCACAGTAGGTATGGTGTTCTTTGGATGCAACTCAGCATTCTTTGTCCTCCAAACACGACGAGTTGAGTTTTTACCAAAAAGTTATATTTTGGTTTCATCTGACCATATGACATTCTCCCAATCCTCTTCTGGATCATCCAAATGCATTCTAGCAAACTTCAGACGGGCCTGAACATGTACTGGCTTAAGCAGGGGGACACGTCTGGCACTGCAGGATTTGAGTCCCTGGCGGCATAGTGTGTTACTGATGGTAGGCTTTGTTACTTTGGTCCCAGCTCTCTGCAGGTCATTCACTAGGTCCCCCCGTGTGGTTCTGGGATTTTTGCTCACCGTTCTTATGATCATTTTGACCCCACAGGGTGAGATCTTGCGTGGAGCCCCAGATCGAGGGAGATTATCAGTGGTCTTGTATGTCTTCCATTTCCTAATAATTGCTCCCACAGTTGATTTCTTCAAACCAAGCTGCTTACCTATTGCAGATTCAGTCTTCCCAGCCTGGTGCAGGTCTACAATTTTGTTTCTGGTGTCCTTTGACAGCTCTTTGGTCTTGGCCATAGTGGAGTTTGGAGTGTGACTGTTTGAGGTTGTGGACAGGTGTCTTTTATACTGATAACAAGTTCAAACAGGTTCCATTAATACAGGTAACGAGTGGAGGACAGAGGAGCCTCTTAAAGAAGAAGTTACAGGTCTGTGAGAGCCAGAAATCTTGCTTGTTTGTAGGTGACCAAATACTTATTTTCCACCATAATTTGCAAACAAATTCATTAAAAATCCTACAATGTGATTTTCTGGATTATTTTTTCTCAATTTGTCTGTCATTGTTGACGTGTACCTATGATGAAAATTACAGGCCTCTCATCTTTTTAAGTGGGAGAACTTGCACAATTGGTGGCTGACTAAATACTTTTTTTCCCCACTGTACAAGAGGAAAAATATATTGCAGACTAGTTTTGGGTCATACTCTTCAAAGAACAGTAGGACCTCAGAAATACAAACACGTCAGGAACGGAGGTTGTTCAGAATACAAAAATGTATGTAGAAATCTGTGTATGTAGAAAACATGAATTGCATACCTAAGTTCGTCTGTAGCCTACAATAACTCTGTTTTTCAGGGGGTTTAATAATTGTCTCCGTTCGAAATTGCCTGTTCAGCAGTAAACATCTTACCTTAGCTATCTCCTCCTCCACCCTCTCCTTGTGTCTCCTCTCCTGCCCGCCTTGGTCCTCTGTGCTGGGTGCCTCGATAGAGCGGACGCCCCCATTGATGCCCTCCGGGTCCGGCTTCACCTGCAACCGCACATCCTCCTCTCCTTCCTCCCTCACTTTCTCTCCCTTTTCCTGCACCCTCTCTTCTCTGAGTCTGGTGAGCTCGGCACAGTGTTGCTCCTTCAGCGCGGCCACCTCCTGGAGGTACTTGTGGTAGAGCGCTCTCCTCAGCGTCTGCAGCTGCGCCGCCAGGTCCATAGACTTGGCCGGCCCGCTTAGCTCCGTGCCCAGGCCCACCAACAATGCATCCTCATCCACCAGCTAGAGATGAGGGGGAGGAGTGGACAAGGAATAGGGTGGGGAAAGGATGGACACAGACAAACAAAAATAAATGAACCGGAGGGAAACGTATATGGAAAGAAAAATAGGAGAGGAGGAGAGGAGAGAAAAACATAGGGATTAAGCGAAAGTTAGAGGAGAAAATACAGGGAAAGATTCAGAGAGTGTGTCCCCTCCCTTTCCCCTTACTCCTCAGCCACCCGCTGGCGATAAATTCACAGATTTTACTTCCTATGCCTCCAAGGCTGAATGATGCACTGATAAATAGAAGTCAGACATCCTACAGAGCCGAGTTCCAGTTCGGCTAGAGCACCAGTATGTCAAGCTACAATAGTAAGTCTTTCCTTTTTCTCTCTTTTTTTCAGCTATGTCTCTCTCAGTGAATCATTATTGTGCTAGAATAGTGCCTGGTGTTGGATGCTCTCGATCACTCATTTTCTATCACTCTCCTCCTACCTCCATCTCCTTTCCCCCTCTCGCTCGTCCTTTCCCTCCACCTTTCAGTCTACTCCGTGCATTGCCCATCTTTCTCTCTCTCACCGGACATCTCTCCATTTTTATCTCTCACCCTTTCTTTTCTTTCTTTCTCCCACAATCTCTGAGCTCCTCTATTCTCCTGCTATCTTCTCTGATGTGAGAGACAGCGTCTCACGCTGCTAGACTGGTAAGCAACGGAGGTAGCGAGAGCGAGTGAACGAGCGGGAGGTGGAGTGATAGTGAGAAAGGGAGACTTGACTGAAAATATACTACTACGGGTCACTCACGTGGACAGAATAGTCCATTAATGCAGGCGAAGACTTGAGTACCGTAGTAGTATATAGCTAACGCTAGCATCCACGCTACGCTAACCGCTTACATAACAGGCGCCTCGGCTCTTCAACTTCCCCTCGGATAAAGAAATCGATTTGAACGTGGCGTCTCACTGCAGCCAGCCACCCAGGGATTTGGGCCAGATTTTAGCCAAAGGCAGCATTCCCCCCATCCTCCTCCTCCGTCCCCCTTCTCCATCCCTCCTCCTCATCCTTTGCTCGCAGTGACGGCTAATGGAGTCTTAATTAAAATCAGTGTTTGGCCTCGAGAGGTGGTGGTGTGTGACGGGGGAAGATTTGCAAAGTGAGAAGGAAGGGACCAAACCTTTAGTTCCTCTGCGTCCTCTTCCTCGATCCGCAAGCTAAATTGGGCAACACTGGACAGGCTGAAAGACAAGGCAGAATTAAATATAAAGACCGAAGACATTAGTGAACGGTAACGGGTAAACAAACATCCACTATAGTAAATAGATAGCCTACTAGTGAATCTACTAGTATTATTTTCAACATCTTACTTTTTTTTAGGAGATTGGAATTCATGGTTTACTTGTCTGAAGTGTGTGAATTGTACAGGGAAAGTGCCCTGTCCAAATTCCCCTTTGGGATTAGCTAACTGGCACCATTCTATCAATCAATGTCATCATGTGGCATGTACAGTGGGCTGCAATGTTTTAAACTTTGCGGGAAGAAATGTAATGCATAGAACGGACATACAATTCCCTATTATTCTACATGACAGAGAAGTACAGATAAGCATATATTGAATAATCCCTTCAATTTTCTATTGACATGGAAACACCTTGAGGAGGGCCAAATGGGGAGATGCTTCTGCTCTTTGCCTAGAGATGTTAGGCAGGAGAAACCGTACTTTGTGGGTTAGTAATTAACATGACTCCAGTCTGTAATGCTTTTAACCACCATTCAAATGTTTGTAAAATGGCTTCCGCAATATTAGGCTTTATTAGTTGATTGACAACCAATGTAATTTGCTAGGTTATTTTTATCAAATGCTCTGTTAAAAAGTTGTGTTTTACCTAAATAAAAGCAAGCTACCGGAGACAACTCTCGTCTGGCTATACCTGCTGAACAGGGCTTACAATAGATTTTATTTTGATCATTCAGGTTCACCATCAGCAATAGTTTTGGTAGTTTTGCTGTAAACAAAACTACCAATGACTTGCAGATCAATGACTCAACACAGTTACATGCAGTTCAACACTGAAGGAGAGGACGCATCAATTGTCACAAAAGATGAGATGAATTTTCAGAAGGTAGAAAGAATGTAATATGAGGCCAAAAAACATGTGAAACAGCGATTTGTAACTTTTGAAACAATTTTCTGACCGATGCATGCTAGATTTGGATCAGTTTGAGGTCCGAAAACCGATGCACTTGTATCATAAACATTTAATCGGGACGGATGCGTATCGGTGAATGTTACATCCCTATTATATAGTGAAAATAATTTAGATATCAGGAGATTAAAGCCATGCTAATAATAATGGACCCAGGAGAGGGTGAGAATAAAACTGAAATCTACTTTCAAAGGAATAAGGAGGTTGCTAATGCCTTGGCAATTAAAGCGGGCCTGAATGGCAGCTGTAGAATTTCACTGCCTGGGGGTATCGGGTCACAGTGATCTGATAAGTGCTGCTGCACTCTTTCTATGCGCATACATGCACGCACACACAGGAGTAGGATCCTCCTCATGACTGTTTCAGATACTCCCATGGGGGAGATGAAACATTACTTTCTCACTTATGCACCAGTGGTTGTGTTTCTTCTATAATATGTATTACCCTTGATGTGTTTGTGGACTAACCAATTCATATGTTGAGTTGGATTCATGAGTTGGATTTAGTTTGAGTTTAATGATTTGTGTCAAGATTACAGGCAATGGGAAATGGTTGATTATGGTGTTTTCCTCTTGCCTGGATACCCAGACTCCTTGCTCCGGCCAAACATTAACCCACGCCCACTAATGTTAGTTTCTTCTCGGCAATGAGTCTGGATCTGACTACCTCCCCAATCCTACGCCGAATGCGAATACATTTGGGGACATCTGATTGGTCCAGAAACCGATAGGTTGGACCAGAGCCAGAGCACACGTGGGTAAAGCGGCAGTTTGAAAATGTGTCATTGGCTTTGATACTCTGATTGGTTAGAGCCCAATCCCTGATGACTTCGTTTTGAACAACACCCCTCGTGCCCCTCGTCATCACAAATGACTTCAATTATGGCAGTCTCAGACAAAAGTATGTAGAGAACGACAGAGCAGCGGAAGAATTTAGTGCGAGTCGTCAGGCTAGTTTTCCTCCTCACTGCGACCCCTGCAATATCCTCCATGACCTCTAGGGGTCTGTAACATACCACCGAGATACCAGGGGCTTGTTCAGGAGGATGCAATGGTACAGAACATTCAGATAGAAAACTTATCCTCCATCCATTGAAAATGACTGCTTCCGGTAGTTTGACGGAAGTAGTGTCTAGTATAAATACACCGTGAGAAGCTCTTGCGTGTGATTTATGTAAGCCACTTCTAATGACCATCATCATCACTATTACCTGAACTGGGCCTCGGTGCCTGTGGCCTCATCGAGGTGCTGCTGTAGCACGATGAGTTCGGTAGCATATCGCTCCTCGGTCGCTTTGGCCTGCTGCTGGTAGTAGGCCCTGAGGCGCTCCACCTCCTGCCTGTGGCATTCCTCCAGCTGGGCCCGCTGCTGCTGGACATTGGCCCTAAGCTTCTGGATGTCCTCAGCAGTGTGGGAGGATGGCGAGGCCGCGGTCGGCTCCCTCAGATCTGGGTAGAGAGCGATAGTGTTAGCATGGCTATGTAGATGGAAGTAGACAGTGCCCATCTTTCCCATTCATTTTGGGATTGAGGCCCGCAGACCTTTCCAAATGCACAACAGATTGTGTAGAATATGGACACCACATAACCCAGCACCATTTTGAGGTGATTTTGGTTTAGACATACAGTACATATCTCAATTTACCCTCGAGGTTGTGTGTGGAGATGCTGGAGCTTTCGATGTGCCTGCGCAGGCTGGTGATCTTCTCCTCACTGCTGCGCTTCAGATCATCGTAAGCCAGCTGCATCGCCTCAATCTAAGAATGACAATAAGAATTTGACAACAGTGTTTGTTGGCGTTATCATTAAAGCCAATTAGCTTTCATTCGTCATATCATTATTAACTAGCACAGTTAAAAATGTAAACGCTAAGTGCTAGTGTCCTAGCAATTACTGTACCCAAATCAATCAAATTATTGTTGCTTTTCATCCCAGTCATAATACTGTGATTACATGTCAAACACTAACAAAGACATTGGTGTCGTGGCGTCTAAACATATCCAATCAATCAATGACATTTCATGTTTTCCCCCACCAATTCATAAACTCTTAGCCTAAACCCCCTAAAGCAGGGGTGTCAAACTCATTCCATGGAGGGCCTAGTGTCGGATGGTTTTGGGATTTTCCTTTCAATTAAGACCTAGACAACCAGGTGGGTGAGGGGAGTTCCTTACTAATTAGTGACCTTAAATTCATCAATCAAGTACAAGGGAGGAGCAAAAACCTGCAGACACTCGGCCCTCCGTGGAAAGAGTTTACATTTACATAATTTAGCAGACGCTCTTATCCAGAGCGACTTACAAATTGGTGCATTCACCTTATAGCCAGTGGGATAACCACTTTACAATTATTATTATTTTATTTTAAATTTTGTTGGGGGGGTGGGGTGGGGTGGGGTAAGGGGGGGGGGTAGAAGGATTACTTATCCTATCCCAGGTGTTCCTTAAAGAGGTGGGGTTTCAAATGTCTCCGGAAGGTGGTGAGTGACTCCGCTGTCCTGGCGTCGTGAGGGAGCTTGTTCCACCATTGGGGTGCCAGAGCAGCGAACAGTTTTGACTGGGCTGAGCGGGAACTGTGCTTCAGCAGAGGTAGGGGAGCCAGCAGGCCAGAGGTGGATGAACGCAATGCCCTCGTTTGGGTGTAGGGACTGATCAGAGCCTGAAGGTACGGAGGTGCCGTTCCCCTCACAGCTCCGTAGGCAAGCACCATGGTCTTGTAGCAGATGCGAGCTTCAACTGGAAGCCAGTGTAGTGTGCGGAGGAGCGGGGTGACGTGAGAGAACTTGGGAAGGTTGAACACCAGACGGGCTGCGGCATTCTGGATGAGTTGTAGGGGTTTAATGGCACAGGCAGGGAGCCCAGCCAACAGCGAGTTGCAGTAATCCAGACGGGAGATGACAAGTGCCTGGATTAGGACCTGTGCCGCTTCCTGTGTAAATCAGGGTCGTACTCTCCGAATGTTGTAGAGCATGAACCTACAGGATCGGGTCACCGCCTTGATGTTAGCGGAGAACGACAGGTTGTTGTCCAGGGTCACGCCAAGGCTCTTCGCACTCTGGGAGGAGGACACAACGGAGTTGTCAACCGTGATGGCGAGATCATGGAACGGGCAGTCCTTCCCCGGGAGGAAGAGCAGCTCCGTCTTGCCAAGGTTCAGCTTGAGGTGGTGATCCGTCATCCATACTGATATGTCTGCCAGAGCTAACTAAATAAACCGTTTTACACACACAATATGTAGCAGTCCTTCCTACCTTATTGCCATCTGCCTTCAGTAAGGACTGGAGCTGTAGTAGACGACCGTGCTCCTGCTCAATCCTCTGCTTCACCTGCTGAAGGTCTCTATACATTTCTATAGAACGAGACAGAAGAAATGTCCATTACAAATATGTCCTCATGCTGTTAGTCTCAGTGTATGAAGTATCTTCACTACTATAAGATATTCTATTTATCATTGATGTAGCTATATTTGATGTGTGTATGCAAATGTTAACTGGGGGAAAACACAAACACAATATATACTAATTTGTAATTTTACCATGCAGCAGTCAAGATCGGTGTGTGACTTATTTAGACTTTTTCATAGGCTGCGTGTTCATTACGTAGTATTGTTCTCATTCGGGTAGACATCACAACCAATAAAGCACCTTTTGCCTCCTGTAAAACAGCACTGGAATCCCTTGTTTCTTCCTTTTCAAACAAATGAATCTTCCAGTCCTCGACATCAGTGGGTTGGAGATACTCCAAGAACTCCTCTCCAAAAATTTTAGCAAAGGACTGTAAAGTGAATAGCAAAATAGCTCTCAAACAAAACTGATGTCTCAGTAAATATTTGATGCACTCATGTGCTAAAAATCTATGTCTAAACCTGAAATAATTCTGTTTAATAACGTTCTCAAATTAAAAGTAATTGACAGTGCAAAGGAAAATACTTGTTTTTATGTGTGTGTGTGTGTGTGTGTGTGTGTGTGTGTGTGTGTGTGTGATGAATGTTAACTACCAGGATGAGCTGCTTGCATTCTTCAGACACAACTTGCACCACATTCTGGTACTTAGAGCTTTTGAGATCTGTGAAGTCTGAGAAAAACAACAAAAGCATACATTATTATTGGCTTATATTGAGCACACATGGTACACTAACATTATTCAATTACTAAAATAGGATGAAAGCAAAAGTGACTGAATAACTTCCGTGTGAGTCAGTCTCCTGTTTTCTATCTACAATTTGTAGCATGGTTGACATCATGAATGATAGATACAAATACAAAAATTCCATGTGGCCCCTGTCTAGCCCCACACCCCCAAATACACACACATAATTAAATATGCATGTGAGCACACACATTGAAACACATACACACAGCAACACACAAGGTTTCCTACCAAACAAACACACTTGCCATATCCCTACTTCAACCACACCACCAGACAACAACTCATCAACCCGCACTCAAAACCACACACACACACACACACACCTTTGTCCAGTGTTTTTTTTAAGCGACCCAGCTCAAGTGTGCTGGCGTGGGCGTCTGTCTGCTCCCGGAGCAGCTCCAGCTGTGCAGCGTGCATCTGAGACAGGCTGATCCGCTGGGCCTCCAGCTGCAGCCTGCACTCCACCTGCACAAAGAGAGAGAGTGGAGAGAGCATAGAATTAGATAGACCAGAATGAACATAATCCCTCAGTCCACCTATCATGGCACAATAGAGATTGTTTCAGGAGTAGAACACAAACAATCCACATCATAGAATGTACTCGTTGCAACTTACACATGATGAATTTAAGGTATTCTTAGCAATATGACATCATACACATATCAACAACAAGACGATAGTCAACCACTATTGGCCCCTCAAAATGTACTGTAGGCTTGCCTGTTGTTGATATCTGTAAGCAGGAAGCCAGCCTGCTGTGTATGATGCCATATTTTTGAGTGTACTTTTAAACAAATGGAGCACTACCTATTATGTTGGCCAGTCCACCCACCATAGGACATTGTTTTGAATGGAAATGAGAAATGCCTGTTGCCTTGATTTTATAAAAAGAGACAGGTGGGAGCACCTGGGCTTTAGCACAACAAATGAGGGGCCAGCTATTATCTATTCTACAGCCAACAACACAATGGGGAGCTGGCAAGGCTTTCCACTCATCCTTGGATGGATGTGTAAACGCAGATGTGTTTTTTTATTTAACCTTTATTTAACTAGGAAAGTCAGTTAAGAACAAATTATTCTTTACAGTGACGGCCTACACCGGCTAGGGGGTCTGTAGTGACGCCTCAAGCACTGAGATGCAGTGCCTTAGACCGCTGCGCCACTGGGGAGCCCAGCTACACTCGTGGAATCGTGATTTTCTTTTCCTTTGATGACAGTGCTATTTGCTATGTGCAGTACGTTTTTGTGTGGAATGGTAACATTGTTGCTTTCGTAACGCTTTGTTAGATTGCAATTTATCAAACCCACTCAAGCGCTATACATATTACAGTAGGTCATGTATCAAATTGATGTCAAGCACATGCTTAGTAGCCTAATGCATGTAGCTATGTAGAATGTGACACTGCAAATACTGCTATGAAACTGAAAGGGTGAATAACTGCATACTGCAACTTCCTAAACCGATTCATAGTTCTTACTTTGGTTATTTCACAATGATTATTAGCAGTGTGGGCAGTATAACACTTGCTGACATAACAACCAAGACAAGTATTACTCATGATAATAAAATCGGTGACAAAAGAAAGGTTTGCCTTTCATCACAGTCTTACTACTGGGTGCCCATAGTTCTGTATTAAGCTTTTCCACTTGTTGATTGACCTTCCCAACCCACTGTACTACTCTCTGATGCATCAAAGGCAGCGACTCAGGCCGGAGCTAAAAGTACAGGCGGTTGTGAGCTCAGGGGACATTTACATGCTCTGTGGTCTTGCTGTCCCTGTCCTCCTCCTCTCGCTTCGCTACAGGGTCCGCCCGACACTCCATCCCATCTACTCTCTTCCCCTGAAAAGAGGAGAAAAAAGTAGCCATTGTAACAGAAGAGTTTAACCTCTTAAGGATCGGACCGTTTTTAAAATGTTCGCCTAAAATGACATACCCAAATCTAAGTGCCTGTAGCTCAGGACCTGAAGCAAGGATATGCATATTCTTGATACCATTTGAAAGGAAACACTTTGAAGTTTGTGGAAATGTGAAATTAATGTAGGAGAACATAACACATTAGATCTGGTTAAAGATAATACAAACAAAAAAACTTATATTTTTTGTTCCATCATCTTTGAAATGCAAGAGAAAGGCCACAATATAATATTGCAGTTTAGGCGCAATTTAGATTTTGGCCACTAGATGGGAGCAGTGTGTGTGCAAAGTTTCAGATTGATCCAGTGAAGCATTGCAATACTGGACTATTTTGTATCAAGTCTGCCCAAATGTGCCAAATTCGTCAATTGATACATTTTCAAGTACATAACATACAAAAATTATATGGTAATACAAAATGTAAGTTTACACACTCCCAGAAATGTCGTACATGATGGATCATTAGCTTATACACTAACTTTCACACATCTAGATGGCTGGGCGGGGTGGGTGTGGAGCCAGCGACAGCACGGGTTCAAAAAGTAGAACCCAGTTCCTACATTTGAATATAACAATTAATTTTATCAAACAAAACTATGCTACATTTTATCTCTGGGACCCTTAGGATGACAAATCAGAGCAAGATTACTGAATGTAAGTACATTATTTACCTTCAGAGGTGAATGTATCAAACCAGTTGCCGTGATACGTTTTTTGTTGTTGTGCACTGTAATAGCTACTGTAAATTGGACAGTGCTGTTAGATAAAAAAAAAAATTAAGCTTTCTGCCCATATACGACATGTCTATGTCCTGGAAAGTTTGCTGTTACTTACAACAGTCATGCTAATCACACTAGCGCACGTTAGCTCAACCGTCCCGTTTACGAGACACTGATCCCGTAGAGGTTAAACGTGAATAAAAAATTTTGATTAGGTCTGACGACAACAATACAGTACGTATGGCATAAAACACAGTGAAACACTTACTGAGAAGGCCACACTGTAAAGACTAAGACAGCGTCGTAAGCATTTCATAATACCTTTATTAGGAATTCATTAATAGCAATGAATGCTTATGTCACAAATATGGAGGTGTACTTCATTGCACACAGTATTGAAAGCAAGAACAAGAGGCAATAGCACCATTTTCTTGTTTTTGATATAAGCATTTATAAAATGTGGGTCTTTCTATAAACTACGGTACCAGTGAGGATTTCCTACGCTGGACAAGTTGTCACAGCTATTGATAAGTCATTGATAATAATCTGCTAATTTATTTAATGTCATTATATTAAGATATAAGGGGGGAACATACCGTAGAATTCAATAAAATTCACAAGTTGATTTAAAACTCATGTTTAACCCTTTCTCATGGTTGGTGTCTTGACGGATTTGTCCAAAATAGTGTGACATAAAACATTACTTTTCTGTCAATGCATTTATGACAGTGTAAATTGTCATTATATCATATATTAAGCATTAATCAGTTAAATTAGACATTGAACTTGAACCCTGTACAAATCCTGGATCTAGCTGTTGGATAGTTTTTTGTATAGAGATCTCAGAAATGCAGTGTAACTACGTAACATTTAGTGTCTCCTTATGTTATGGGGTGAAAACAGTTTTCATGGGCAAACAAATCCCCCAGAAATCAAAATCGAATGCTTCTAAACAAAATAATCACCTTATCTTGACACTTAAAACCTAAATCGATACTGTCATTAACGTGGTTCTTCAATATTTATGCATAATACTTGTTGGATGTGCATTGATGTCAAAGTGTTTAATTACTCAATGATATTTTCACACATCATCATCTGATCCAAGAAGGAATTTTCTGAATGACAGTCAAGTGACGAACAGCTGTTGTGATAGCGCATGCGATGCAACAACAGCCCAAGTGCTAGAAAAAAAGTTGTTCGCGAAGAATGTCCATAATATGTGTCTCATTCGTTACGCCAGTGAAGACAGTTGTGCCTGGATCCATGTTGGATCTAATATCCCTAGCAAATTTATGTTGATCATCTGTTGTTGCCTGCTTGATTTACAGCAGGGTCTTGTCAGATTTAACAGAGAAAGTATCAATGTAATGGAGTTCATATTTTTGTGCCTCGGATTGGACACCAAGTCTACTGTGCGCAATTGTGTTATGCACCCAACACCCAACTCTATTCCTATTAATTATTCTGGATATAATGACAACAAATTACATAGCCTAGTGGGTTTCTTCACAATATGATCTGGTAATGAAATAACATGACAAATACATTTTGGTTTCCATGTTACACCTGCATATATAAACAATACAAGGGGCTTGAAGTAGCCTACTTGAACTTACATTTTTTAGCAATGGAATAGGGGGGGGGGGGGTTCTATATTCGGCCCTATATGTACAATTATATATGTGGCGTACTGCATTAGCATCAAATAGCCCCCGCGATATGCAACTTTTCAGGGAAGTTAGGAACCAATATACACAAGCAGTCAGGAAGGCAAAGGCAAACTTTTTCAAACAGAAATTTGCATCCTGTAGCACTAACTCCAAAAAGTTTTGGGACACTAATGTCCATGGAGAATAAGAGCACTTCCTCCCAGTTGCCCACTGCACTGAGGCTAGGAAACACTATCACCACCGATAAATCTACAATAATCGAGAATTTCAACAAGCATTTTGCTACAGCTGGCCATGCTTTCCATCTGGCTACCACTACCCCGGCCACCAACTCTGCACCCTCCGCTGAAACTTGCCCATGCCCCCCCCGCTTCTCCTTCACACAAATTCAGACAGCTGACGTTTTGAAAGAGCTGCAAAATCTGGACCCCTACAAATCAGCTGGGCTAGACAATCTGGACCCTTTCTTTCTAAAACTAGCCGCCGAAATTGTCGCAACCCCTATTACTAGTCTGTTCAACCTCTCTTTCATAACGTCTGAGATCCCCAGAGATTGGAAAGCTGCCGCGGTCATCCCCCTCTTCAAAGGGGGTGACACTCTAGATCCAAACTGCTACAGACCTATATCCATCCTGCCCTGCCTTTCGAAAGTATTTGAAAGCCAAGTTAACAAACAGATCACCGACCATTTCGAATACCACCGTACCTTCTCCGCTATGCAATCCGGTTTCCGAGCTGGTCATGGGTGCACTTCAGCCACGCTCAAGGTCCTAAACGATATTATAACCGCGATTGATAATAGACAGTACTGTGCAGCCGTCTTCATCGACCTGGCCAAGGCTTTCGACTCTGTCAACCACCGCATTCTTATTGGCAGACTAAATAGCCTTGGTTTCTCAAATGACTGCCTCGCCTGGTTCACCAACTACTTCTCAGATAGAGTTCAGTGTGTCAAATCGGAGGGCCTGTTGTCTGGACCTATGGCAGTCTCTATGGGGGTGCCACAGGGTTCAATTCTTGGGCCGACACTTTTCTCCGTGTATATCAATGATGTCGCTCTTGCTGCTGGTGACTCTCAGATCCACCTCTACGCAGACGACACCATTTTGTATACATCTGGCCCTTCATTGGACACTGTGTTAACAAACCTCCAAACGAGCTTCAATGCCATACAACACTCCTTCAGTAGCCTCCAACTGCTCTTAAACACTAGTAAAACTAAATGCATGCTTTTCAATCGAACGCTGCTGGCACCTGCCCACCCGACTAGAATCACCACTCTTGACGGGTCTGACCTAGAGTATGTGGACAACTACAAATACCTAGGTGTCTGGTTAGACTGTAAACTCTCCTTCCAGTCTCACATAAAGAATCTCCAATCCAAAGTTAAATCTAGAATCGGCTTCCTATTTCGCAACAAAGCCTCCTTCACTCATGCTGCCAAACATGCCCTCGTAAAACTGACTATCCTACCGATCCTTGACTTCGGCGATGTCATTTACAAAATAGCCTCCAACACTCTACTCAGCAAATTGGATGTAGTCTATCACAGTGCCATCCGTTTTGTCTCCAAAGCCCCATACGCTACCCACCACTGTGACCTGTACGCTCTTGTTGGCTGGTCCTCACTACATATTCGTCGTCAAACCCACTGGCTCCAGGCCATCTATAAATCACTGCTAGGCAAATCCCCGCCTTATCTTAGCTCATTGGTCACCATAGCAGCACCCACCCGTAGTCTGCGCTCCAGCAGGTATATCTCATTGGTCATTCCCAAAGCCAACACCTCCTTTGGCCGCCATTCCTTCCAGTTCTCTGCTGCCAATGACTGGAACGAATTGCAAAAATCTCTGAAGCTGGAGACTCTTATCTCCCTCACTAACTTTAAGCATCAGTTGTCAGAGCACCTTACCGATCACTGCACCTGTACACAGCCCATCTGAAATTAGCCCACCCAACTACCTCATCCCTATATTGTTATGTATTTTGCTCTTTTGCACCCCAGTATCTCTATTTGCACATAATCTCTTGCACATCTAGCATTCCAGTGTTAATACTATTGTAATTATCTTGCACTATAGCCTATTTATTGCCTTACCTCCATAACTTGCTACATTTGCACACACTGTATATATATTTTCTGTTGTATTTTTGACTTTATGTTTTTTACCCCATATGTAACTCTGTGTTGTTTTTATCGCACTGCTTTGCTTTATCTTGGCCAGGTCGCAGTTGTAAATGAGAACTTGTTCTCAACTGGCTTACCTGGTTAAATAAAGGTGAAATAAAAAAAATAAAAATAAAAATATATATATATAAATTATACAATTGTATAACAATGACTTCCTTGAAAATTACAATTGAGTGCTTGAAAAAGTCCCTGAAAGTACTTGAATTTGACTTGCCAATGTCTGTATGAACCCTGCTTGAAGGATGTATAGTCCTAGGCCTATGTTGTTGTAAAGGTGGAGTTATGGGCCAATTTGCATATATTCCTCTAAATACAATGTGGAACTGCATAAAAATAATTTTATTTTTGTCTCAAATTATTTGGAAATGTTGATCCCAATGTCACACATTGGCCCCATTATTTATAGAAAGACCCATATAGTCTATGTGGTGCACTGATACCAAATTCTGTGCATCCTTGACATTGCTCTACTGAGGTGAAGCCTTGGACATATAAGTGAGACACATGAGTAACACAAAATGGCTTCTCACCTTCAAGCACTTACTCCCTGCAGGACAAAAAGAAACAACAATGTATACGTTTCTCTACATAAAAGCAAATAAGTTCCTAGCTAGAAAAGGATATTCATGAGAGATAACGACGTACGCTTCGTGTCTTTCATGGCTCTTTTTGGCTTTGAAGATAAGAGTCATAGAAGGCTGATTATAATTCTTATATAACAGCTTGAGTAAAGCTTAATCGTGGTTTCAACTTAATAATTTAAATGATCTGTGTGTTTATGCAACAAGCTCTTCTACAGTCTTCACAGACTCTGTGTATTGATCCAATTGATGCCTCCCATTCAGCCTCTCCTGCTTATAATGAGTAGTATGTGTGGCCTGACAACCACAGACAAAATATTGAGCCTCTTTTTACTTAAGGATGTACTTCTGTTATTCACTGCCTATGAGAGCCAGCCTCTGTCAGGCACTTTGTAATTAAGCCCATCAATCATTACAGATTGTCTGAATAAAAAATAAAACTTCAGTGCTAGAACAGGCAAACCTCATCTCAGCCAGGTTTTTTAAATAAGCCTTCGGTTCAGTCTATGTAGTGTATGAATACAAATACCATTCACCTGCATCAAGTAATGATCAACAGTTATTGATTTTAACAAGGGAGTAATGATACATCGTCACGTAGTACTGGTTGTGAACATGATCAATTGTTTACTGGTTATTTCAACAAGTCAATTTGAGCATTAACATACGACCAAAATGAAAATACTCCATTAAACCTTTTAACAGCTCAATCAGAAAGATTGTTTCATCAGACTTATGAAAATGCAGGGAATGAGAGAGAGAGCGAGAGAGAGAGGAAAAGATAAAAGGCCTGTCGTTTCCATAGCAGGGGCTATTCCAGCTAAGACGACTGCAGCAGCAGCTGCTGTGTGTGAATGCTTACCTGCTTCACAACGCTGTCTCTCGCTCCGTCTCCGTGGTACCCGTCTGTGGAGTCCTTCTCCCCGGTCCTCTGCTGCGAGCTAGACGGAACCTGGCTCTCCATCTGAGCCCGATGCTCCCGCTCTGCTGCAGCAGTAGCACCTCCAGCTTTGTTTCTTTCCACCACCTCCTGCTTCTCCCTCTTCTCTTGTGTCTGGGCAGAGCTCTGGCGCTTCTTCTTTCCTCGCCGCTGCTGTGTCTTGCGCCTGTATGACCCAGAGGCTGTAGGCTCCACAGCGGAGCTACGCTCAACAGGTCCCTCCCCCACAGTCAAGATCTGAGATGGGGCTGCAGACGGAGTTGGTGTCTGACTCTGGTGCCAAGCCTCCGGGGTGTGTCGGAGGCGTTCTCGCTCTATTTCGCCGGCCTTTAAGGAGGAGCGGAGCACCTCTACCTCCCCTTGGAGAGATTCGATTTGGAGGTGATGATCCTTGATGGAGCAAGCTGGGAATGCAGACTGAACAGGCTGCCCTCTCTGTTGGAGCTTCGCTTGGCTCTGAGCAACTCTCCCTCCCTCCTCTCTCTGCCTCTGCAGTTCTATCTCTCCCTTTCTCTCCTTCAGAGTTTCCCGCTCTCTTTCGAGCTCTTCCTCCAGGTTTTCATTTTGGGCGATGACCTCCTTGTTTTCTCTCCTGACCTGACACAACTCTCCTTCCAGCTCATCCAATTCACCTTCTGTAACAGTCAGCTGCTCAGTAACTTTAGACAGCCTCATAGCCAGTTCCTCCTTCTCTGTCAGAGCTACCTTCAGCTTCTCCATCAGCTCAGTAGTGTCTTTCTCTATCGAAGCACCGCCGTTGTCTTTGGACTTGTCCTCCATTTTGCTAGTTTCCTTGTTCTCCCTCAGCTCCTGAATCTGCGACTGGAGGCTAGCGAGTTTTGACTCATACACGAGTGTCTCCTTGAGAATCCTCTCCTCCAACTGCGCCTTTACCTCAACAAGGCACGTATACTCCTCCTTGAGCTCCTGATAGTTCACCTCAAAGTTCTTTTCGGCAAAAGAGAATGTATTCCGCTGCTTTTCATTCTCCTCTTGCAACTCCACTACTTGTCGCTGCTTTTGTTCATTTTCTGTCGTGAAGGATTTAATTTTTTCCACCTTGGACTCCACTTCCTCTTTCATGGCGTTGTTGGTTTCCATCAAAATCCTCTTTTCAGATTCCTGCTCCCTCCATTTGTTGTCCCAGCTCTTTTCTCGCTCCTTGGACTGGTTTTCTAGCAGCTCATTCTTTTTCAGCAGCATTTGGATTTCCCTCTCCATTCTGACCCTTTCTTCTCCACCCTTTTTCAATTCCTTAACCTCCACTTGAAGTTCCTTGAGTTGCACCACCAGCTCTTCGGCTTTCGAGCTGTGCAGCGCCATCTTCAAGTCATCTTTCAGTGCAATGATTTGGTGTAACAGCTCATCCCGCTCGTCCTTGTACACGTTCCGCAACTCCTCCAGGGCTCTGCTGTGCCGGATGGACGCCTCATTGAGGAGGTTCTCGCCGTTGAGCTGGCTCTCCCTCTGGTGGTCCTCCCGAAGGAGAATGAGCTCCTCCTCGTGGCTGAAGAGGAGCTGTGTCCTCAGCCTCTCCAGTTCCGCCTCCTGTGACTGGGCCATGCGGTCCAGCACTGCGTCCTTTTCCCGCTCCATCATCTCCAGTTTGATCTTGTAGTTGGTTGTCTCTGACTCATGCTTGGCCTCGATCTCTTCTGCCGACTCCACAGCGGTGGCTAGCTGGGCCTTCAGGTCATCAATGGTTTCCTGGAGGCACTGCAGCTCGCACTGACGACTCTCATGGACAGCGATGTTCTGAGAGGCCTGCTCCACTTTGGCCTGGGCTGAGCGGAGGTCATGGAGCAGGTCAACCATCTGACCCTGGAGGCTGAGCTTCTCCTGTGCCACCTGGGACAGCTCCTGTCTGGCCTTCTCACGGAGCGCCTGGGCCTCTTGGATCCTCTGCTGAAGCTCTGCGATCTTGTCCTTGAGCTCGATCACCACCTCGGGACTGGGCCTGGGTGCAGGTTGCTGGGCTCTTAGAAGCTCTAGCTCTTCGCGATGCTCCTCCGTGACCCGCTCCAGGGCCGCAGAATGCTGCGAGCGAAGTTCCTGCTTCATCTGGACTATCTGCTCACCGTACATCTCATCTAGCTCCATCCTGAGATGATCCAGCCTGCGGGCTGAGTCCTCCTCCATCCTCTGGAGGGTGTCGCACTCTGACAGGCTGCCCTTGTGGTATCGCTTCTGGAGGTCTTCCACGGTGCCCATCAGCTGCTGGATCTCGCTGGAGGACTTCCGCTCCTTCTGCCTGGAGGCTGAGAGTTCGCCCCTGCAGGACTCCAGCTCAACGCTACAGATCTCAAGCTCACCCTTAGTGCTCTCCAGCTCAACCCTACAGCTATACAACTCACCCTTACTGCCCTCCAGCTCAACCCTATAGCTATTCAACTCACCCTTAGTGCTCTCTATGTCCCTCTTACAGTTATCCAAGTCACTCTTACAGCTCTCCAGCTCTTGGGCCTTTGCGGTCATTTGCTGGTTGAGGTCGTTTAAGCGTTTCTCAGAGGCCGTCAACTCATCCTTTAGCTGGTGGAGGGAGGAGTCATGTTCTGACATGACTCTCTCTTGCTCAGCGATCAGCAGTTCTTTCTCGTTCAACTTTTGTGCAAAAGTCTCCTCAGTCATCCTTCCCACCTGTGCAAGCTCCACCTTGAGCATGGTCAGTGTACGCTCATGTTCTGTTATTATTGCAGTTTGCTCCAAAATCAGCAAGTCTTTTTCATTTCCCCTCTGGGCAAATGACTCCTCAGCCTCTCTGCCCACATGACTGAGCTCTTCTCTAAGTTGCATTAGGGAACACTCATGCTCTGCCATAATTCTCTCCTGTTCAGCAATCAGCAGGTCTTTCTTATTTAACCTTTGTGCAAATGACTCTTCTGTTCTTTCCACCTATGAGGAAAAGTAAGTATTAGACATACAGGTAAAATGTCAAAAATATAATTCAAGTCTTATACTAAAACGGTTTGAATAAATCTTCTACAAACAGCCTTTAAACTATATATATATATATATATATATTTTTTTTTAGGTAATAAGGTAATAATAGTAGGAAATCTAAATCAGATTTCAAAACACACCTGGTAATCAACCACCTATAAAACAGATCCATTAAATAGATCAATACATTTCATACAAGCAGACGTTTTCACATGAATGACAGGTACTGACTAACACCAACTAGGCAGCTGCCTCACCATCTCAGCCGCGTTGAGCCGGTGCTGGAGCTGGCTGATCTGCAGCAGCTGCTCCTCGCTCATCTCTTGGTGCCATCTGACCTGGCCGTCCATCTCCTCCAGCTGCTGCTGGTATTGGACGAGCTGCTGCTTGGCCTGCAGGAGGTCCTGCGCTGTGCTGCTGTGGCTGGTGTTCCTCAGCGTCTCACCTGCCTGCAGCTGTCAATCAAACCAGAGGGTGTTCATGTTCCCGTGGAAATAATGGAAAACAACAACACCACCACCACATCTGTTGTATAATTATTAGGAGGGTATTAAAATACATGAAATGTTGATAGAGCAGGGAAAAGCTTTCGAGACAATAAGATGGCATAGGAAAGCTAGGATATAATAGGACTGGTACAGGTACGTCTAACCTAGGGTTGCAAAATTCCTGTAACTTTCCCAAAATACCCAAGCTTTCCAGAAATTCCGGTTGGAGGATTCCCAGATTTCCTGCTTTTTCCCACCCGTTTATGGGAATCTTCCAACCAGGTTCTCTGGAAAACCTGGGAATTTTGGGAAAGTTACAACCCTTTTTTTTATTTTTATAATCTTACCATACGCTTGTTAAGGTTTTCTACCTCACCTGCCTAATATTTTTTTCTTATTCTATTATAGACTAGGGTGGGATAATATGGTATAGTGTAGTGTATAGCCTAGGCAAGAATATCTTACCTGCTGGAACTGAATGTGCAGTTTCTGGCTCTGCTCAGTCATCTCTAGGAACTCCCTCATGACCTCATCCTTCTCTTTGCGAGACTGCTGCAGATTGGCTGTGAGTTGTGTGATGATGCCATCTCGCTGCTTCAAGGCAGCCTCGAAGTCCTGCAGCTGGAGGAGCAAAAAGAGTACATTGCGCATACCTTGCATAATAAACGTCAGTGATTCACAAGTCACACTTTACTATGAGAAAGAAAATAGTACATTGGCTTTACTTTGACAAAGACAAAGTGTGGTCTCAACAATTGAAGTAGCTAGTTTGGGATATTTGAGAGTAGAGGTGATTTAAAGGAGTATGGGTGGTAATACAACCACAGATCAATGTTTTTAAACCAAACAAGAAAAGTGATTTATTCCATTGAAAAGGGAAATACCAACAATAGTTTATATGTACATGTTACATGTGTTTGACATGTGATCCATTTCACTTGATATTTACAGAGTCCTCTCATATATTTGAGTAGTAATCTGAATATCAGTACATAAAAGAGCTCTCATATAACTCCACTACCCTACCCATTGCTAAGCTGCATCCTCATCAAAAGGTCAGCCCAGCAGCATGGGCTAAGCAAGGCCAACCCCTTATGCAATCTGCTTGATGAATTAGACTCATAACACACACTACAAACAATTTAAATGTTATATGAACATTTGCAGTTGACAGGGGAAGCAGGTTATTTACTTTTTTCTCAAACTACCAATCTTAATTCCTTCATACTTACACAGAGCACGCATGCACACGCAGCATATTACCTGTTGCACCCCCTCTGTGCCGAAGGCCGCTCTAAATTCCTCCAGCTCTCGGCTCAGCTCCTCTACCACCAGAGTCTTAGCAGCCAGCTCTTCCTCCATGACCTGTACCCTTCCGCCCCTCGCCTCCTGCAGCACAGGGTCCACTTCGTCCTGTCGTGGGGGGGACATTGGCTAGATGAGAAATTACCTAAACATCCAAAACTGCCACAGAACAGAGGAGGGAAATGGTACCTGTAGCTTGCTTAGCAATAAATTAGCATCCGAGGCTGCCACAGAACTGAGGGCGAAATGGTAGCTAGCTTCGCAATTAGCTAATCTCCAAAACTACCACTGAAGCAATTAGTCAGTATCCAAAGCCACCACAGAACTGAGGGGAATGATAGAAATGAACTAGTCAACATCCAAAACTGCCAAAGAACTGGCAGCCATTAAAGAGCACAGTGCTAGCAATGGTTTCCTCTCTTTCACTTTAGATCTGTACTTCACTACTCTTAACTTATCTGTCACGCTCTTTTTTCTTTCTACCTCGTTCTATCTTTTTTCCTTCTCAGAATGGTTTTAACTTCTTTACTTTCAAACAAAATCACACAGTCAGTCACTTAATTTGATGTCTTTCTCAGCCTCTATCCCCTCTTTCTCCCTTCTCTCTCTGCCATCCCTCTCCCTCTCTCTTCCTGCCTGCAAATGGCAAGATTACCTGTGTGACTTGGCAAATGAGCAGCTCTTGTAGAATTGTCCAGCGCCCCCTTCTCTAGCCACTTCACCCCCAATCCCTCTTTTTCTACTTCTCTTCCTCCCTCTGTTTTCCTCTTTCTCTTCTGACTTCCAGAGTAATTTACACCTCTGAAATGTCAAGCAGCCCCCGTTCCCTGCTCCCCATCCCTGCTGTTAAAATGGTGAGTGAAAGTTAAAAGGATGACAGCAGCAGCCTGCCGACAATGCTGTTGTTGCTGCTCTGCAGTCCTTGGCCTTCAAATTAAAACCATTTCACAAGCGCACACTGAGGATCCCAGAAGCAGAGAATAAAAGGGACTTGGTTAGTGAGTTAGTCTGAGGAAAATCTCAGGGTTAGGTCGTCAGAATGCAGTGCGGAGACAGAGAAAACGTGTTACAGTAAAAAAGAGTGTGCAATCAGTGCAGCGGTGAGTCGGCTTGTTAGCAAAAAAACAGTGGCTTGTTGTTTATTCAATTGTCGTACTGTACCCAGATAAACTCCTTGGAAGTCTCCATTGGGATCTCGGTCATCTCAAGGCAGCCATTCACCTGTTAATTCACAAAACTGTTTGGTAATGCAGGGGGATTTCTTGGTTCAGCTTCCCATTGTTCACTCGTGTACAGGGCACAGAGTGAAGGATGTAATTAAATGTGGTATTTTGGTCCCATCGTACATGTCAGGCTTTAATGTAATGACTGCCACCTTCTCAAAACCATTAAACTCGGTATCACAGGCAGAGCTTTTAATGTCAGCCCTGTAGAAGAGGGGGAGGGGGAGGTGAGAGGTGCGGCGTGACTACTTTGATTTGTCAAGTTCAGATAAATGCCAGACGGGGACTTGGAGAGCTGAGTGCCTGGCAACAAGCTAGCCAAGTCACGTGGTCTGTTCTAAGAGGAAACCTGGGAAAAGGCAGGACCTAAGCCCCGAACCGTAACACTAATCCTCAATAGCAGAGGCCCTTAGTAACAGATCTAGGGTCAGTTTACCTTTCATCAAATCTGAACCAAATGCTTTTTTTAAGGTGAGGAAACAAATAAGACATTTTGCAATTTGGGTGAACTATCCCTTCAAGTACAGTATATTAACACCAATAAAAAGAGTGTTCTCTGTTTGGTGTAAACTATGATGAAATTAACTCACCTCGGAGGAGTAGTCTTCGGCTGTGGTGGACACTTCACTATCTGGCTGCCATAGGAAACAACAGGAGGATTCATCAGTCCCTGCATGGGGAGGACTCACCATAATAGGCCTACCGTGAGTCACCAGTACAAGTGGCCCACACAAACACAGCCCCACCAGCGGAGCAGAGTGGATTGCATTACAATACAACAAGCAGAGAGAAAAACAAAGCTTCAAAGTGCATTCAAACTGAAGGACCATAACTACATGAGTAAGCAGTTTTAGCTAAAACAAGCCCATCCTAGGTCCTGTGTACAGTCAGAATTCTGCTTTACAGTCCCATTACTTCAAGAGCGAAAGTACAGTGAGAGAGGGACGTTCTGGGGGAGCAGTTCATGATATGACAAGGTTATTGTCCTCTCATTTCCGATTTGTCTTTGTGCGGCAAGTTCTGGTCAGTTTCTGGAGAAGAATAGGTTAATAATGGCGATGTCAAACGCTGTCTGCCCCTTTGACCTACATCCAATGGGGCATTTTGGAGGCATGCTGTGCCACGTTCAATCACTGGGCGCAAACTACCTTTATAAGACAACTCCTTTCTCAATGGAATAATGGCAGTGATCATTAGAGCCTATTCTAAAAGGGGCTAATTTCACTTTAACAAGATTAAAAGCTGGATCACTACGGGGCAAGACGAGGAAAAATTAAATGAGAGGTTTTATTGTCCGAGTTTATGGCACAGTAGGCCAATAGTTCCTTTTCATTGAGGATCGAGAATGGCTTTGGTATCGGCAACTGTCTAGCCTATATTCCTTGGAATGTGCTTGTTGAATTCCGGTGATTCTAGGGAAGGTAGAATAGGACACGGCATTGGATGTAGCCTAGTAGCAACACTAGATGTGATTTCTTAAAGGGAAGTGTCAAATTGTTGACGTCTCATGTTTGCAACTTTGCACACAAAAGATCCTGTGGGGTATTGGAATAGCATAACATTTATCTAGGGTAGGCATATCACTTAAATTATGAATCGGAAACGTGAATATGAATTTCAAAGATAGCCAAGCTGCTTATCGTGGATTTGATTGTATCAAGATGTCAAAACATCAGATAATCAGCAGATCTGCCTCTATTATACCACTTGTGTCAGATGGGAAACACGGTTCATCTGTTTAAGATATGCGCAGGTGAGAGACAATACAACAGGTTAGCACTCACACAGAGCTCTGTGAAGCCGTCTGCCTATACAAGTGCCTTGGAGGGGAACACTTTGAAGCTGGTGTTTCCACAGCAACCCCTCTCTCCAAGGGAAGTTGCATGGCTACTTGGAACGTCTCTGTGTTAATTCAATGGTGCGCCCAGGGCCAATTACACCCTTTGTCGGGAATGAAAACACAATGTTGTGAGAAGAAACAGACTAAAAATGAAACGGTTTCAACTAAATGGTTGAACCATTTATCAGTCTCATTATTGTTGTTGTGATGTGTGTTAGGTCCTATATTTATATATATATATATAGATATTTTTTTAATCCCAGCCCCGGTCCCCGCAGGAGGCCTTTTGCCTTTCGGTAGGCAGTCATGGTAAATAAGAATTGGTTCTTAACTGACTTGCCTAGTTAAATAAAGGTTAAATAAAAAATATATATATTACAAATTCCAAATATTGATTCAGATGAGTCTGAATTCAACGACATGAGTCTAAACTCATGAGCATCTTGAACCTAGGAACATTTTATCATTAATGACAGAACTGGCAATTCGTGACATAAACAGTTACTGTTTAAAATGTCTGCATGCCTATAGAAATACAGTAGTCATGACGGAAAAAGTGCTGAGCTATACCTCAAGACTACCGAGCACCAAAAGAAAAGACAGGCAGCAGCCACTCTATTCAATCACCTCTGGTCCGTTTTGTGCTGCAAGGCCACGAGGCTCTCCAACACTAGAATGAGGCAGCTCAACCTATTTAAAGGCAATTGTCTGTTGCCATGGCAACCCATCCTTTCACAGTCACATTCGGGGCGACAAGGGGCTAAGAAAATGTGGTGTGGTTTTTCAGCAACAGAGGGAATGAAAACTATTAATGCTGTTCGTGACACAAGTGCTACAAAAGAACAGAAGGGAGGGAGGAAAGAGAGGAGTTTGCATTGTTCGGCGTAGGTGGAGTGCAGAGTTGGGGGTGGCATGGTGCATGCACCCTGTTTGAGGCTTGGGAATACCCTCAAGGTTGTGAGGGACTTCCCGACTGTCTGTGAAACGTATAAAATATTTCGCATTGACGATGTAACGGCGAGCCGAGTTATATTAATAATGACAGACTAAGATGGTCATTTGAAAGAGAGGGAGAGATTCATTGAGCAAGCTTGCAATGACGCTTAAAAAATACATGTCTGAAGAGCTGGGAAAAACAGCCAGAATTTTTTATTGACCCAAATCCTTATCTTTTTGGTTATTATTTTGCGGATTCTCTAACCAAAGTTGAACAAACAAAGATACTAAATAATACTCTAACACAACCCTCTAGCACAATAACAATATTCACAAAAATAAAGAAATGCAGTTAGCCCGCAGTAACTTCAAATTCAGCTAAAAAGGTGTTGTGATTCAGCAAATCAAGAGCTAACACAGCACTAACAAGGAGACTTATTGACTGCTCCACTGTTAATATTGAGCCTTTGAAAATCGGCACTCACAAAAGTAGCTCATGGCAAATGAAAAGGTTATTTCCTGGGACTGTTGTGTGATATCTGCTCGAATGGATTCAGACAATGTCTTTGATGCAACAAAATGTGAATCGCTTATCACGGTCTACGGCATTGAATATGCGTGATAACGAAAACCTTTTTATGTCATGTTTGAACTACAACTTTTTACATTTTTCTTTATCTACTGTAATATTCTATTTAACATTTACATTTTAGTAATTTAGCAGACACTCTATCCAGAGCGACTTACAGTAGTGAGTGTATACATTTTCATACTTTTTCAAGCCAAGCAATAGAAATGTGCACCTTAGAAACTGTAGGTAGAAATGCTTTAGAGAAATAAAGATTACATTTAGCGTTAATTAAAATGTGTGATTCAAGTTACCATGATCTTTTACGAAGTGATCAGTTTGGGACAATACAGGAAACCACAGAAATATAGGCTAATACAGCTTACAATGTATCCCTACACACATTAGGCTACTTCTCTATTTTGCTGATTTAAATTACAGGTTGTAATGTAACAAAATAGGAAAAACGCCAAGGGGGATGAATACTTTTGTAAGGCACTGTAGATTAGTTGAATCATGTACCTTAGTGCTAGGATATTTATTTTGCTGATCAGCAAAATTGATTTTTATTTGGATTTCATGAAATGGACACACAAAATAGTCCAAATTGGTGAAGTGAAATGAAAAAAATAACTTGTTTCAAAGAATTCAAAAAAATAAATAACGGAAAAGTGGTGCGTGCATATGTATTCACCCCCTTTGCTATGAAGCACCTAAATAAGATCTGGTTCAACCAATTACCTTCAGAAGTCACATAATCACTTAAATAAAGTCCACCCGTGTGCAATCTAAGTGTCACATGATCTGTCACATGAGCTCAGTATATACAGTGGGGGAAAAAAGTATTTGATCTCCTGCTGATTTTGTACGTTTGCCCACTGACAAAGTCATGATCAGTCTATAATTTTAATGGTAGGTTTATTTGAACAGTGAGAGACAGAATAACAACCAAAAAATCCAGAAAAACGCATGTCAAAAATGTTATAAATTGATGTGCATTTTAATGAGGGAAATAAGTATTTGACCCCTCTGCAAAACATGACTTAGTACTTGGTGGCAAAACCCTTGTTGGCAATCACAGAGGTCAGACCTTTCTTGTAGTTGGCCACCAGGTTTGCACACATCTCAGGAGGGATGTGCGGCAGGTAGTTTAGTGGTTAAGAGCGTTGTGCCAGTAACCGAAAGGTCTCTGGTTCTAATCCCCGAGCCGACTAGGTGAAAAATCTGTCGATGTGCCCTTGAGCAAGGCACTTCACCCTAATTGCTCCTGTAAGTCGCTCTGGATAAGAGCGTCTGCTAAATGACTTAAATGTAAAAATGTAATGTAAATGGATTTTGTTCCACTCCTCTTTGCAGATCTTCTCCAAGTCATTAAGGTTTCGAGGCTGACGTTTGGCAACTCGAACCTTCAGCTCCCTCCACAGATTTTCTATGGGATTAAGATCTGGAGACTGGCTAGGCCACTCCAGGACCTTACTGTGCTTCTTCTTGAGCCACTCCTTTGTTGCCTTGGCCGTGTGTTTTGGGTCATTGTCATGCTGGAATACCCATCCACGACCCATTTTCAATGCCCTGGCTGAGGGAAGGATGTTCTCACCCAAGATTTGACGGTACATGGCCCTGTCCATCGTCCCTTTGATGCGGTGAAGTTGTCCTGTCCCCTTAGCAGAAAAACACTCCCAAAGCATAATGTTTCCACCTCCATGTTTGACGGTGGGGATGGTGTTCTTGGGGTCATAGGCAGCAATCCTCCTCCTCCAAACACGGCGAGTTGAGTTGATGCCAAAGAGCTCCATTTTGGTCTCATCTGACCACAACACTTTCACCCAGTTCTCCTCTGAATCATTCAGATGTTCATTGGCAAACTTCAGACGGCCCTGTATATGTGCTTTCTGAGGCAGGTGGACCCTTGCGGGGCGCTGCGGATTTCAACCTTCACGGCATAGTGTGTTACCAATGGTTTTCTTGGTGACTATGGTCCCAGCTGCCTTGAGATCATTGACAAGATCCTCCCGTCTATTTTCTGGGCTGATTCCTCAAAGTTTCATGATCATTGGCCAACTCCCCGAGGTTGAGATCTTTGCATGGATGCCCATGGTCGAGGGAGATGACAGTTATTTTGGTCGTTTTTCTCCATTTGCGGAAGTAATCTCAAACCAACTGGTTTTTCACCTTCTCACCAAGCTGCTTGGCTATGGTCTTGTAGCCCATTCCAGCCTTGTGTAGGGTTGTTGAGGGGGGTCAAATTACTTATGTCCAAGTTGCATCCCTACATACTCAGATCACTATGGGGGGTCAAATACTTATTTCCCTAATTAAAATGCAAATCAATTTATAACATTTTTGACATGCGTTTTTCTGGATTCTTTTGTTGTTTTTCTGTCTCTCACTGTACAAATAAACCTACCATTAAAATTATAGACTGATCATTTCTTTGTCAGTGGGCAAATGTACAAAATCAGCAGGGGATCAAATACTTTTTTCCCTCACTGTATACACCTGTTCTGAAAGGCCCCAGAGTCTGCAACACCACTAAGCAAGGGGCACCACCAAGCAAGCAGCGACATGAAGACCTACGAGCTCTCCAAACAGGTCAGGGACAAAGTTGTGGAGAAGTACAGATCAGGGTTGGGTTATAAAAAAATATCAGAAACGTTGAACATCACACGGAGCACCATTAAATCCATTATAAATTGAAAGAATATGGCACCACAACAAACCTGCCAAGAGAGGGCCGCCCACTAAAATTCACGGACCAGGCAACGAGGGCATTAATCAGAGTGGCAACAAAGAGACCAAAGATAATCCTGAAGGAGCTGCAGAGCTCCACAGCAGAGATTGGAGTATCTGTCCATAGGACCACTTTAAGCCATACACTCCACAGAGTTGGGCTTTACGGAAGAGTGGCCAGAAAAAAGCCATTGCTTACAGAGAAAAATAAGCAAACACGTTTGGTGTTCGCCAAAAGCTATGTGGGAGACTCCCCAAACATATGGAAGAAGGTACTCTGGTCAGATGAGACTAAAATTGAGCTTTTTGGCCATCAAGGAAAACACTATGTCTGGTGCAAACCCAACACCTCTCATCACCCCGAGAACACCATCCCTACAGTGAAGCATGGTGGTGGCCGCATCATGCTGTGGGGATGTTTTTCATCGGCAGGGACTGGGAAACTGGTCAGAATTGAAGGAATGATGGATGGCGCTAAATACGGAAATTCTTGAGGGAAACCTGTTTCAGTCTTCCAGAGATTTGAGAATGGAAGTCTTCCAGCAGGACAATGAACCTAAGCATACTGCTAAAGCAACACTCAAGTGGTTTAAGGGGAAACATTTAAATGCCTTGTCAAAGCCCAGACCTCAATCCAATTGAGAATCTGTGGTATGACTTAAAGATTGCTGTACACCAGCGGAACCCATCCAACTTGAAGGAGCTGGAGCAGTTTTGCCTTGAAGAATGGGCAAAAATCCCAGTGGCTAGATGTGCTAAGCTTATAGAGACATACCCCAAGAGACGTGCAGCTGTAACTGCTGCAAAAGGTGGCTCTACAAAGTATTGCCTTTGGGGGGGTGAATAGTTATGCACGCTCAAGTTCTGTTTTTTTTGTAATATTTCTTGTTTGTTTCACCCCAAAAATATTTTGCATCTTCAAAGTGGTAGGCATGTTGTGAAAATGAAATGATACAAACCCCCCAAAAAATCAATTTTAATTCCAGGTTGTAAGGCAACAAAATAGGAAAAATGCCAAGGGGGGTGAATACTTTCGCAAGCCACTGTAGGTCCTGATGAGCGGTTGATTAGCTCAACAATTCACACTGTCTAAGATCAAGTTGAGAAATTCAGCATAGAAGACCAATATCATTTTAATAAACCGTAATTTCAGGGCCAGGGGAAGTACCAGTTCTCATCCCTTTTCACACTACTGAGCCAAGCCAGTTTCTCTAGTCTATTCAACTCAGACTCTCCATATCAAGAACGCCTGCATGCTAGGAGAAGCTAAATTCAAATGGTCAATCAATGGTTAGGGATGGTCCAGAGGTTTTTGGCCTTACCTCTATGGTGTAAGTCTGGTCATGTTTGACCGTCTCACCACTACGCAGGGTCCTGGCGAAGGTAAACTCTGTGGTGGGGGGGTCCGGTTCCCCTCTTCCTCCTCCTCCGACCTCCCCCCCACTCCCCGTCACCTCCTCCCCTACCGACTGATCCAACTCCTGCTTGGCCGCCCCTCTCCCCGGTCCATCTCCACCTGGGTCGTCGTCTGTTTCTCTCCTCTTTTTCTTCTTCTGCTTCTTCTGTCTGTCTGCGTGAGCTTTCCTCTGTCGGTAGTCAGCCAACTGGGGTCACACAGGGAGAGCAGGGAAGAAGAACAGACAAAAAGGCAAGGCAGGGTCAGTGAGGTTAAATACAGAGATTACAGTGAGTATGGGCTGTTTAATAGGCGGTCCAACAAACTTGGCTAAATTCTAGGTTTAAGGCTAGATGCTATGCTACACTGAACACTGCCTATATTACATTTATCACAACAAACTAGGCTAAATGCTATGCTAAACTTTACATTCCTTCAAAAAAAGCAACCACAAATCAACTTCAAATTATCTTTGATGATTAGTTAAATTAGCCTTTTCTGTTAGATTAGGCCTACCCAAGAATCAACTACTTTAGTTGGCGTTTCCAATTCAAGAATTTTCAGCGGGAAAAAATATGCAAAGCAGAAAAATACCTACAGTAGTGCTACATAGCTTGGTAAAGCCGGTGTGAAACATTGCATGCGTCCCGGAGCTATCAACCGCCGATGCGAATGTGAATCCTTGCCGTACATAGGCCCCTAATAAACAACAGTTTGCTTCCTGTTGTGGCTCCCCCTAATCTTTTAAATACCCACTAAAAGGATTACATTTTTTAAACTTCCTCGATGTCAAACATCTAATGACTTAAACGCATGGGTAATTGGGTATATGGATGAGCCGCAGTTTTCACCCCCCATAAAGCTTTTGCCGTCTACAATTATCCTCCAACTCCTAAATATTAGTGTGCAAAGTGATGTCTTTAGGAACAAATGGAAGAAAAACACATCTGGATCTATGAAAGTCTCGAAAGATGGCCAAACGCTAATTTGTGTGTGTGTGTGTGTGTGTGTGTGTGTGTGTGTGTATATATTTATATACACACACATACATACATACATACATACATACATACATACATACATACACACACAGTTAGGGAAAAAAGTATTTGATCCCTTGCTGATTTTGTACGTTTGCCCACTGACAAAGAAATGATCAGTCTATAATTTTAATGGTAGGTTTATTTGAACAGTGAGAGACAGAATAACAACAAAAAAATCCAGAAAAAAGCATGTCAAAAATGTTATAAATTGATTTGCATTTTAATGAGGGAAATAAGTATTTGACCCCCTCTCAATCAGAAAGATTTCTGGCTCCCAGGTGTCTTTTATACAGGTAATGAGCTGAGATTAGGAGCACACTCTTAAAGGGAGTGCTCCTAATCTCAGTTTGTTACCTGTATAAAAAGACACCTGTCCACAGAAGCAATCAATCAATCAGATTCCAAACTCTCCACCATGGCCAAGACCAAAGAGCTCTCCAAGGGATGTCAGGGACAAGATTGTAGACCTACACAAGGCTGGAATGGGCTACAAGACCATCGCCAAGCAGCTTGGTGAGAAGGTGACAACAGTTGGTGCGATTATTCACAAATTGAAGATACACAAAATAACTGTCAATCTCCCTCGGCCTGGGGCTCCATGCAAGATCTCACCTCGTGGAGTTGCAATGATCATGAGAACGGTGAGGAATCAGCCCAGAACTACACGGGAGGATCTTGTCAATGATCTCAAGGCAGCTGGGACCATAATCACCAAGAAAACAATTGGTAACACACTACGCCGTGAAGGAGTGAAATCCTGTAGCGCCCGCAAGGTCCCCCTGCTCAAGAAAGCACATATACAGGCTCGTCTGAAGTTTGCCAATGAACATCTGAATGATTCAGAGGAGAACTGGGTGAAAGTGTTGTGGTCAGATGAGATCAAAATCGAGCTCTTTGGCATCAACTCGCCGTGTTTGGAGGAGAAGGAATGCTGCCTATGACCCCAAGAACACCATCCCCACCGTCAAACATGGAGGTGGAAACATTATGCTTTGGGGGTGTTTTTCTGCTAAGGGGACAGGACAACTTCACCGCATCAAAGGGACGATGGACGGGGCCATGTACCGTCAAATCTTGGGTGAAAACCTCCTTCCCTCAGCCAGGGCATTGAAAATGGGTCGTGGATGGGTATTCCAGCATGACAATGACCCAAAACACACGGCCAAGGCAACAAAGGAGTGGCTCAAGAAGAAGCACATTAAGGTCCTGGAGTGGCCTAGTCAGTCTCCAGACCTTAATCCCATAGAAAATATGTGGATGGAGCTGAAGGTTCGAGTTGCCAAAGGTCAGCCTCGAAACCTTAATGACTTGGAGAAGATCTGCAAAGAGGAGTGGGACAAAATCCCTCCTGAGATGTGTGCAAACCTGGTGGCCAACTACAAGAAACGTCTGACCTCTGTGATTGCCAACAAGGGTTTTGCCACCATGTACTAAGTCATGTTTTGCAGAGGGGTCAAATACTTATTTCCCTCATTAAAATGCAAATCAATTTATAACATTTTTGACATGCGTTTTTCTGTATTTTTTTGTTGTTATTCTGTCTCTCACTGTTCAAATAAACCTACCATTAAAATTATAGACTGATCATGTCTTTGTCAGTGGGCAAACTTACAAAATCAGCAGGGGATCAAATACTTTTTCCCCTCACTGTATGTATGTATGTATGTATGTATGTGTGTGTATGTATATATATATATATATATATATATATATATATATATATATATATATATATATATACACACATACACACAGTGGGGAGAACAAGTATTTGATACACTGCCGATTTTGCAGGTTTTCCTACTTACAAAGCATGTAGAGGTCTGTCATTTTTATCATAGGTACACTTCAACTGTGAGAGACGGAATCTAAAACAAAAATCCAGAAAATCACATTGTATGATTTTTAAGTAATTAATTTGCATTTTATTGCATGACATAAGTATTTGATACATCAGAAAAGCAGAACTTAATATTTGGTACAGAAATCTTTGTTTGCAATTACAGAGATCATACGTTTCCTGTAGGTCTTGACCAGGTATGCACACACTGCAGCAGGGATTTTGGCCCACTCCTCCATACAGACCTTCTCCAGATCCTTCAGGTTTCGGGGCTGTCGCTGGGCAATACGGACTTTCAGCTCCCTCCAAAGATTTTCTATTGGGTTCAGGTCTGGAGACCGGCTAGGCCACTCCAGGACCTTGAGATGCTTCTTACGGAGCCACTCCTTAGTTGCCCTGGCTGTGCGTTTCGGGTCGTTGTCATGCTGGAAGACCCAGCCATGACCCATCTTCAATGCTCTTACTGAGGGAAGAAGGTTGTTGGCCAAGATCTCGCGATACATGGCCCCATCCATCCTCCCCTCAATACGGTGCAGTCGTCCTGTCCCCTTTGCAGAAAAGCATCCCCAAAGAATGATGTTTCCACCTCCATGCTTCACGGTTGGGATGGTGTTCTTGGGGTTGTACTCATCCTTCTTCTTCCTCCAAACACGGCGAGTGGAGTTTAGACCAAAAAGCTCTATTTTTGTCTCATCAGACCACATGACCTTCTCCCATTCCTCCTCTGGATCATCCAGATGGTCATTGGCAAACTTCAGACGGGCCTGGACATGCGCTGGCTTGAGCAGGGGGACCTTGCGTGCGCTGCAGGATTTTAATCCATGACGGCGTAGTGTGTTACTAATGGTTTTCTTTGAGACTGTGGTCCCAGCTCTCTTCAGGTCATTGACCAGGTCCTGCCGTGTAGTTCTGGGCTGATCCCTCACCTTCCTCATGATCATTGATGCCCCACAAGGTGAGATCTTGCATGGAGCCCCAGACCGAGGGTGATTGACCGTCATCTTGAACTTCTTCCATTTTCTAATAATTGCGCCAACAGTTGTTGCCTTCTCACCAAGCTGCTTGCCTATTGTCCTGTAGCCAATCCCAGCCTTGTGCAGGTCTACAATTTTATCCCTGATGTCCTTACACAGCTCTCTGGTCTTGACCATTGTGGAGAGGTTGGAGTCTGTTTGATTGAGTGTGTGGACAGGTGTCTTTTATATAGGTAACGAGTTCAAACAGGTGCAGTTAATACAGGTAATGAGTGGAAAACAGGAGGGCTTCTTAAAGAAAAACTAACAGGTCTGTGAGAGACGGAATTCTTACTGGTTGGTAGGTGATCAAATACTTATGTCATGCAAAAAAATGCAAATTAATTACTTAAAAATCATACAATGTGATTTTCTGGATTTTTGTTTTAGATTCCGTCTCTCACAGTTGAAGTGTACCTATGATAAAAATTACAGACCTCTACATGCTTTGTAAGTAGGAAAACCTGCAAAATCGGCAGTGTATCAAATACTTGTTCTCCCCACTGTGTGTGTGTGTGTGTGTGTGTGTGTGTGTGTGTGTGTGTGTGTGTGTGTGTGTGTGTGTGTGTGTGTGTGTGTGTGTGTGTGTGTGTGTGTGTGTGTGTGTGTGTGTGTGTGTATGTATATATATATATATATATATATATATATATACACATATATATACATACACACACACACACACACACATACAGCACCTACTCATTCAAGGGTTTTTCTTAATTTTTAACACTATAGAATAATAGTGAAGAAATCTATGAAATAACACATATGGAATCATATAGTAACCAAAAAAGTGTTAAACAAATCAAAATATATTTGAGATTCTTCAAATAGCCACCCATTGCCTTGATGACAGCTTTGCACACTTTTAGCATTCTCTCAACCAGCTTCATGAGGAATGCTTTTCCAACAGTCTTGAAGGAGTTCCCACATATGCTGAGCACTTGTTGGCTGCTTTTCCTTCACTCGGCGGTCCGACTCATCCCAAACCATCTCAATTGGGTTGAGGTCGGGGGATTGTGGAGGCCAGGTCATCTGATGCAGCACTCCATCACTCTCCTTCTTGGTAAAATAGCCCTTACACAGCCTGGAGGTGTGTTGGGTCATTGTCCTGCTGAAAAACAAATGATAGTCCCACTAAACCCAAACCAGATTGGATGGCGTATCGCTGCAGAATGCTGTGGTAGCCATGCTGGTTAAGTGTGCCTTGAATTCTAAATAAATCACAGACAGTGTCACCAGCAGAGCACCCCCACACCATAACACCTCCTCCTCCATGCTTTACTGTGGGAAATACACATGCGGAGATCATCCGTTCACCCACACCGCATCTCACAAAGACACAGCGGTTGGAACCAAAAATCTCAAATTTGGACTCCAGACCAAAGGACAAATTTCCAGCAGTCTAATGTCCATTGCTCATGTTTCTTGGCCCAAGCAGGTCTCTTCTTCTTATTGGTTTCCTTTTGCAGTGGTTTCTTTGCAGTAATTCGACCATGAAGGCCTGTCTCCTCTGAACAGTTGATGTTGAGATGTTTCTGTTACTTGAACTCAGTGAAGCATTTATTTGGGCTGCAATTACTGAGGCTGGTAGCTCTAATGAACTTATCCTCTGCAGCAGAGGTAACTCTGGATCTTCCTTTCCTGTGGCGGTCCTCATGAGAGCCAGTTTCATCATAGCGCTTGATGGTTTTTGCGACTGCACTTGAAGAAACTTTCAAAGTTCTTGAAATTTTCCAGATTGACTGACCTTCATGTCTTAAAGTAATGATGGACTGTCGTTTCTCTTTGCTTATTTGAGCTGTTCTTGCCATAATATGGACTTGGTCTTTTACCAAATAGGGCTATCTTCTGTATACCACCCCTACCTTGTCACAACATAACTGATTGGCTCAAACGCATTAAGAAGGAAATAAATTCCACAAATGAACTTTTAAGAAGGCACACCTGTTGAATTGAAATGCATTCCAGGTGACTACCTCATGAAGCTGGCTGAGAGAATGCCAAGAGTGTGCAAAGCTGTCATCAAGCCAGAGGGTGGCTATTTGAAGAATCTCAAATATATTTTGATTTGTTTAACACTTTTTTGGTTACTATATGATTCCATATGTGTTATTTCATAGTTTTGATATCTTCACGATTATTCTACAATGTACACATTTTTTAAAAATAAAGAACAACCCTTGAATGAGTAGGTGTGTCCAAACTTTTGACTGGTAGTGTATATCAAAATGAACCATGACCAGTTAAATGTAGACAAATATTATATTTTTTGGTACTACACCTTTTCTTAAATATTATATAAAAGTATGCAAATGAGGCCTACGTCTATACCACCAGTCCACTTTTCTGGACACAGAATTAAGTCAGCAGATTTTAGGGGGTTTCATTTGAATAACACAAGCCAGGACTATTCACAGATTGTGGATAAACACTCTTCTGATCTTTCTATCTAAAAAAAAAACCACTACTGCCATGTATGAGGAATGCATTTCTGCATATATTTCTAAGGTATCACATCATTTTCAATGTATCAACAATTGCTTTAGTAAAAGTCTAAAGAATACATATCAGAACAAGCACACACAATGTGGTTAATGCACATGCTTCTGAAGATGATACATCCATATCCATCAAATCCACAACCGTTATGGATATCATAATGCTGAAAAGGGATACTGACAATAAAAAGAGAGAAACCAATTATAGACCATTTAAAACCTTAAGGAAAGTAAAGCTTTGCAGACAAAGTTTCAGAACGGTCCAATGTAAGGGGCATGTTTTACAAAAACGTTTGTGGATGTTACATTGCCTGTTCCAATCACATATTCACAATACTGTAGAACTAGCAATTTAAAAATAATTTAAAAAAGTCATTTAGCAGACACTCTTATCCAGAGCGACTTACAGGAGCAATTAGGGTTAAGTGCCTTGCCCAAGGGTACATTTTTACACCTTTTCGGCTTGGGGATTTCGAACCAGCTACTTTTCGGTTACTGGCCCAATGCTCTTAACCGCTAGGCAACCTGCCTAACTCAACACTTCAATTCGGTCTGTATTACTTCATTAGCATCTCAGTTTCATAACAAACATGACAGCTGTGAGTGGATTAACAAGCTCTGTGAGCCATTTAGAAAAATCCATGAAATATGATTGACTGAAAAGCCTTATTCGAGACTTGGCCTCCTACTCTGTAATGGCCATAATTCATGCAATTTTCTACTTTAACTGGCCATAAAGCAAAATAGCCTATAGATAGGGTGGGTTGTTAGGAACATTCCTTGCCAAAATGGGATCACAAGTTGGGGGGCCACATCAAAGGATAACAGCGGACGATATTGCCACTCCTATTTGCCATATCTTCAATTTAAGCCTACTAGAAAATGTGTGCCCTCAGGTCTGTAGGGAAGCAAAAGTTATTACCCTACCTAAGAATAGTAAAGCCCCCTTAACTGGCTCAAATAGCCGACCAATCAGCCTGTTACCAACCCGTAGTAAACTTTTGGGAAAAATTGTGTTTGTCGAGATAAAATGCTATTTCACAGTAAACAAATTGACAACAGACTTTCAGTACACTTATAGGGAAGGACATTCAACAAGCACAGCACTTACACAAATGACTGATGATTGGCTGAGAGAAATTGATGATAAAAAGATTGTGGGGGCTGTTTGTTAGACTTCAGTGCGGCTTTTGACATTATCGATCATAGACTGTTGCTGGAAAAACGTATGTGTTATGGCTTTACACCCCCTGCTACATTGTGGATAAAGAGTTACCTTTCTAACAGAACACAGAGGGTGTTCTTTAATGGAAGCCTCGCCAACAAAATCCAGGTAGAATCAGGATTTCCCCAGGGCAGCTGTCTAGGCCCCCTACTTTTTTCAATCTTTACTAACGACATGCCACTGGCTTTGAGTAAAGCCAGTGTGTCTATGTATGTGAATGACTCAACACTATACATGTCAGCTACCACAGCGACTGAAACGACAGCAACACTTAACAAAGAGCTGCAGTTAGTTTCAGAATGGGTGGCAAGGAATAAGTTAGTCCTAAATATTTCAAAAACTAAAAGTATTGTATTTGGGACAAATCATTTACTAAACCTCAACTAAATCTTGTAATGAATAATGTGGAAATTGAGCAAGTTGAGGAGACTAAATTGCTTGGAGTAACCCTGGAATGTAAACTGTCATGGTTAAAACATATTGATACAACAGTAGCTAGGATGGGGAGAAGTCTGTTTATAATAAAGCACTGCTCTGCATTCTTAACAGCACTATCAACAAGGCAGGTCCTACAGGCCCTAGTTTTGTCACACCTGGACTACTGTTCAGTCGTGTGGTCAGGTGCCACAAAGAGGGACTTAGGAAAATTGCAATTGGCTCAGGACAGGGCAACACGGCTGGCCCTTGGATGTACACAAAGAGCTAACATTAATAATATGCATGTCAATCTCTCCTGGCTCAAAGTGGAGAACAGACTGACTTCATCACTACTTGTATTTGTGAGAGGTACTGACATGTTGAATGAATCGAGCTGTCTGTTTGAACTACTGTCACACAGCTCAGACATGCATACCCCACAAGACATGCCACCAGAGTTCTCTTCACGGTCCCCAAGTCAAGAACAGACTATGGGAGGCGCACAGTACTACATAGAGCCATGACTACATGGAACTCTATTCCACATCAAGTAACTCATGCCAGCAGTAAAATTAGATTTAAAAAACATAAAAATACACCTTATGGAACAGCAGGGACTGTGAAGCAACACAAACATAGACACATGCATACAAACACACAATAACATACGCACTATACACACATGTACACATGGATTTTGTGTTATAGATATGTGGTAGTAGAGCAGAGGCCTGAGGGCACAAACTTAATATGTTGTGAAATCTGTTATGAATGTATTGTAATGTTTTTTAAATGTATAACTGCCTTAATTTTGCTGGACCCCAGGAAGAGTAGCTGCTGCCTTGGCAGCAGTTAATGGGGATCCATAATAAATACAAATACAAAGCAGGTGGCGAGGAGAAAAATTGCCCCCGGGGCAGGACACATGCTGCAGACCCCTGCTAACTCTAAAGCTGCATGCACTAGGTAGAGCTGCATTGAGGTCTAGTGCTGTAGGATAACCTCAGAGTCTGGAAATGTGTCCTCTTTTAAGCTACATTGTCCGATGGTGCAGTCCCCTCCGAGGTAATCAGGCTGTAGTATCCTTCGCGACAGGGGCTGCCTGTTGCTCGCCATGCCATGTGACACCTGCTTCCCACAGTAGCCTGCTGTGTGAGCTCCCCTGCTTTCACCCAGCTCCCATTCAGTTCACTGACTCTTGCATTAGAACTTACTCAACTTCACCCCACTCAGTGCCTGTCACCAGCCCTTCATCCATAATGGATATCAGGGCTTTTACTGTCCAAGCCATGTAATTAGTGCCAGCATTCCCTTGTGGCGATTAACTGTACAGCATCCCTGCTGTTTGTGCACTGAGGGAAATGAAATGTATGTGTTTGTGGGTGCAGACTGCACACTGAGGGAAGTTTATGTACATGTGTGCCAGACACATGCTGTGTGTGTGTACTCACACAGTCACGCATGCTCTGAGAGCTAATTTGTGTGTATTTTATGTAGGGCTGTCCCCGACCAAAAAAAATATCTTGGTCGACCGAAAGTCGTCTGTTCTTTCGACTTATCGATTGGTCAACATTTTTTAAACGTATATTTTTCCATATATAGACACACCTTTATGTGTTTTAATAAAATCAACTATATTCATTGAGCTTGTCTGATGCTTACGGTTTGATGAAATAAGACAAATGCCTCAAGAGGGCGCCAGAGATCTAGATAACCAGAAGAAACAAACTTTAACCTGCCCCAAATATTCTCCTCCCGCTCCTGCTGGCTTTCGCAGATTCTGCCGTTACTCTCCTATAGTTGCCGGGAATAGGCTACATGAGGAGTCAGCAACCTTTCTCATGTGGAATGCCAATTTATCTTACCATTTCTACCGATCTGTGTGCCAGTTATGGTTTTCATATGCACATTTTTTGTGAAACAGTTTCATTTAATTTATAATAACGTCTTCATATCTCAAAATCATTGTCATGTGGTTGCCAGCAGCACAGTTGCAGTCACCAACGCTCTGGATAACATAAAAACAGCCTAATCAGCTCTGCTAGGGCAAGTAAAAAGGTCAGAGTGAGCTGTTCTCTCATTTGTGTCTGGAAGTTGCTAGCAAGCTAGCCAATGTTAGCTAGTTAGCTTGGGTGCTTGACTGCTGTTAGGACAGAACGCTCGGATCAACCCTACTTTTCATCCAGTGCATCCAGTGTGCACGCTGAACGCTCCGAGAGCGAAACGCTCTGAATTTACGAACGCCCACAACACACTCTGGCACGCCAGATAAAATTTACAAACACACCCGTAGTATAAGCCAGCCTTTAGTCTTGAAATCTTTGCTTGTTTAGTACATAGCCTCACATGTGAATCCTTAGAGATGGGTGAGGCTAAAGCTTAAGAGGGTGTGAATGATGCTGAATGGGTGTAGACAAAGAAGAGCTCTCCAGTAGGTACCAAAACATTCAAGGACTATTTTCTCAAAAGTGAGGTTACAAGTTAATCAACTTTCAAAGCAGAATTACTTTCCCATTGTTCCTCAACTGTAGTGTATTATTTACCATTTTATAGCTCTGAGTCTCTACTTTTATCCAATGTAAAAAACACAATTTCAAATTTTGCTACATAAGACCGAATCGAGTCGGTCGGTCACAAATCTGTTTAAATTTTAATGTCTATTTCAGACTCTGTACCATCCATAAAGGTCATTTTTCCTCTCTAAAGTAATAATGGAAATCACAATCTTTTCGTAATTATCGTTTTTGTGTTCAACCACGCCTTTCCTTCGAAAATGGCTATCTATGTTTTGACCTAAGCCTTACAAACTCAGACTTTTGGTAATATGTTCAGTCTCCCCCAAACGCTTGTCCATTACATGTAGGCTAAGATCCACAACGCCTCTTATTTGCTTTATTTCTCCAACATGCCAATATTTAGAAGCCCGCTTTTTTGGTTATAGGAGTACACTCCCCCCCCCAAGGGGTGCTATAGACACACACATCAAATGTTTAATTTAAATTTTGTTCGTGCATTCTCTGAGACCTTAAAGTTGTAATTTTGCGTCCAAATGTATAATCCATAACGCTGGAATCGCCCAATATTAAAATCATAGTAGAACACTTGTGGTACAGAGGTTGAAAAAGTAAGGGTAGACCTAACATATTTATACTTTTGGTTCATACAGATTATTTGCAGATCTTCATAAATACAGACTAAGTTTCATTAGGCCAAGTGTAAACTGCAACATCGAGGCTTACTTTAACACATAGGGAGGCTGAGGAGTTACTATATGTCAGAGTTTCAGCTTGCATAGCTTTAATACATGTAGGCCAATAGTTTGTAGATGGTCTGAGCAACTCCAGATTGGTCTAAGCAACTCCAGATCTGTGGGGATTTGCACAGCAGAAACAATTTCAATTCATTTTCTCCCAAAAGTAAATTGGAATCCTTGGAATCCTCGGCTAATCTTTCCCAGAGTTCAATTACAGATGATGCGGTGTTGCCCTATTTGGCAGAGGACCATCGAGTTGGACAAGCACATGGGACTGAGGCCTGCGTAGGTGTATAATGCCATCTGCAGTCTCAAAGATGTAGTAACTCTGACAACATTTAGCAAACATTCTTTATCTGGGACAGACAGGTAGCCTACTTAAGCCTTCGCTGCTTATTCCTATGGTACTCTAAGCACTTCAAATCAAAACACTGGCTTGTTGGATAATAATTCTAGAGATTTCTGCATCAATCATTCCCCCTCATCATTGAGTTGCTTCACAAAGGTCTAGGTTAGCTAATGCAGCCGCTGGCGCCGTTACAAGAAAGCGATTATCTGTTACTCAGTGTCACTGCTTATCCCCCACTGATACCAACGATAGATTCATACAATTAACGCTGAACACTGTTCCATACTAGGTTCAGTGTTATTTGGGGCTTTCTATTTGATCAATTATGGCACATTGAGTAATGTTTGCTGTAAGTGAGTGATGATTGTTCATTTAGACAGAGTGGAATCACACTATAGAAAGCCTAGTGGGTACAGCAACAAAGCTACTGTGATTATTTTTTGTAACAAGCACAGATTGAAAGACAATGAATAAGGATCAACACCAGATTCAATTTGGCGGTAGTGTAGTTATAGGCCTAAATATGTGGGACCCTAATCACACTTGTAACACCGGTCTTCATTGCCAAGACGAATACTAGAATGACTTAGGCTATAGCATTAGATCCTCAAAAGGCAAAAGGCTGAACAATACACTAACCACACCTGGATCTACATACAGAACATTTCTAGGTAGCCTAACAGTTTTGTACCTCCAAATGGTCATGAATGTGTTCAGTTGACTGTGGTTGAACTAAGGTAACTTGGCTTTGGAGTCTAGACCATTACACAAGATAGCTTAAGACCGAAATGGAGTCATTAGCGGAGTCAAGACTGATTAATTACCCTAAGGCTCTGAACGTACGATCAATATGGACTAAACAGAGTGTGACCACCATACAGGCTATTCAAACTTGATTCAAACTTGTAATTGCTTGCGAGTCGGAAGTAGCAGACTGTTTTCCTATAGGGATTGCAGGATTGATTCAAAGTGCCACCTCCAAGAGCAGAAACAAAATGCCATACACCCACAATAAGCCCCCAAAGTAAAGATAGGTCTATTGCTTTAAGGACCTTGTAGAAACTTATGAACCGGGGTGTTTAGAGGCCCCTATCTTGGCGATGTAGACATTTTTGCATCTTAAAGCTAATTTCCTGCAATACTACACACATTTTGACTTGCAACTGAGGGAAAATGTTGCAGTTTGAAAGCATATTTCATGCAATTCTATGCATTGCTAATGCTATGTTCATTATCTCAAACATAATAGCAAAATCAATACATTGTACATATATATATTTTAATCTCCCTGACTGTGTCGTTTTTATTTTGGTGATTGTAAATTCTCAAAGATTATATTATTAAAAGTGCAATATGCAGAAATTGCTCCACCTATTCCTGGTTGCTAAAATTCTAATAGTTTGCCTAATTTCAGTTTATATGACATAGAGAATCATAGTACCATCTAAACCGCTGTGAAATATATTTTCAATAACCAAAAATATTGTATTTTTCAGCTGTTTGAAGCTGGTGTACAAAACTGAGAAGTAAGAGATGCAAAATCGAAACTTAAGAATGAGAGGCATAGAAATGGCGCACATGGAACATATCAACCACTTCTTAAACTTGCATTCAATGAGAATGACAGATCTATAACTCACATTTCTATGCCAATTTGATCAGACATCCAAAAAGTGACATTTTGCAGCTTAAAATATATATATAGGTCCATTATCTTTTCTACATACTTTATATATGGTTTTAGTAATTTAAAAGCGTTTTTCCATCCCGAAAACAATTTAGTTTTTGTGTTATTTTAGGCCATCCAAAAAAGAAACGCTTAGGCGGCCGCCCAAGGATTTCAATGACAGAAAATCCCTGATTAATAAAATCAACTAGGCCTTAACTCAAATGGGCTGTGTCTGAGCTTTAAAACACTATTAGTGTCGTTCCAGTGACGAGGTAAGCTACTTGCTGGTGCTGGCACAATGCCCGACAGCCATCTTGACAGCTGCTGCGACAATCAAAAGTTGGCATGTCAACATAGACTTCAGCCAACTCATGACACATAGGGTGTGTTCGTAAATTTAATCTGGAGTGCCAGAGTGTGCTCTGGGTGTTCGTAAATTCAGAGCGTTGTCAGATTGTCCATTCGTAAATTCAGAGAGTTACGCTCTCAGAGCGCACACTGGACGCTCTGGCCGAGGAGTAGGGTTGATCCGAGCGTTCTGACCTCACAACGGAAGTCAAGCACCCAAGCTAACTGGCTAACGTTGGCTAGCTTACTAGCTACTTCCAGACACAAATGAGAGAACAACCTCACTCTGACCATTTTACTCGCCATAGCAGAGCTGGTTAGGCTGTTTTCATGTTATCCAGAGCGTTGGTGACTAACTGTGCTGCTGGCAACAATTTAATTATGCTTTTTTTTGCCGACGTTTACTGACAGGCCATATTCAACAGGTGTTGAGCTTTCGTAAATTCATCAGTTATTCTGCGCTCTGGCACACTCAGACGAGAGTGCTCTGAAATCGGAGTAGATAGCCAGAGCGAATTTACCAACGCACCCATAGTGATTCCGACAACATCAAAAAAGGCATAGGCTACAGGCAGCGAAGTCTAATAATGGCAAAAAATAAAACATGTCAATGATCTAAAATGGACAGTATTGCAACTGAAATAAAATTAATGAGACGTCTTTCATGTTTCCAACAGTTCTCCATTGCAGACAGTGGAGAGGCTCTTCTGTATTCTTTTTGAGCGAAAGCCTTTTGGGCCTCTGTGCTCCAGAGAACATATTAAATGGTGGGATTTATGATTCTCCTCAGGCAAAAACTTACTACATGATGGCTCCAGTCCTTTAAATATTTAGCGTAATATTAGGGCGCGCAAGAAGATGGTGAAAGGATTAACTGTTGGGGCACAATTACCACACCATGGAGCAGAGGGTTTGACTTGACTGTAGGATGTTCATGTTGTTTTATTAGTGAAAAGTACACACTTTCTATCAAATGCATATCGACCTGGCTGTCATTGTTGAAGGTGCAGAAATATGGAGAGGAATTCACTACAATGCTAGGCTATATGCTCTGTAAAACCCATGAGGTTTGATAAAGTGAATGGGAAATAGGAAAAGTATGGCATTGGCAATGTTCTCCCTAAAAACAAATGTTGCTGGTGGGGTGCAGAGGTCCCTGTAACAGCCCCCAGGGCAGTGGAGGTCAAATTCTTTCAGGCAAGAGGCAACATAACTGGGAGGGCTAGCATTGGTAAGGACAACACTGAATTATCCCTTTCATACACAGACCAAAATCTCACTAATTTACCATGCCTGCTTTTTTATACCAGCTTTTTCATATATCTGAAAGGGATAGGGGGTTATGGCAAATTCAAAGCCACCTAATGACCTATATGCCTTTCATAGCAAGACGTTTTTCCGCCAACTTTACCATACCGTCAACTTTTTTTCTGCCTTTTCTTTATATCTGAAAGGTTAGGCAGGTATCAAAGCCTAAACTTTTATTTCTGCCAAACAACCTAGTAATCATTCCGGTAAAGTTCTGCCTACAGGTTAGTATGAAATGTAGCCGCAATGCTAACGCGGCATTGGCACGCACTACGCTCTTAAACTCTTTATGGTTGCTAGGCAGCGCCATGTTACCATCCTGCCAGTTATAAACTTTGCGAGGCATGTAACTTTGTCCATCTCTTCGCATAGCCCACCACTAAGCATGCACTGTTATCTTAACCACAACTGGATGGATCAATAAAACATTACTGTGGGAATAAATATCACTGAATTATGAAAATATTTGAATCAAGTAGGCTAATGCAATTGAAGGCATGTATCAAATTGTTGCTTACTGAAACTCAGTGTCATCCAATCCTTGTAATACATTTGAAGCAATAGCCTACCCGCACGTGGTCATCTAGATGATAATTTCAGCACTGTTTTGATTGGGACAGCGCCATCGCGCTGCTTTGAGACAAGCGTGGGGACTCGTCTTGTTAAATCAATATCAGATTTTGGTTTTCACTGAATCTCCGTTTGGATATTGGTTAGGCTACAATTAGGCTGGGAAATGTTAGCTAAATTGAGGTGAGTGCTGCTCAGGATCATCTTGTTTAGTTGGCTCATGTATTAGAAAATTGTGTCAGCATGTTATGTAGTTTAACAAGTGTATTATTTTGCTCTTCACTCGCAGTCTCTTGGTAGCCTAGGGCTACTCCCAACCAAAAGCCTGTGAATTCATGGCCTTGTCTGATAATCAATGTGATTTTGTTTCACTGAATCTGTCTGTATAGGCTATTTGGTCAATTGGTTTCCTGCTGGGCAAGTGGATGTGGTATAAGCTCATCTATTCGTTTGCTCATTTATCACTGATCAGAAACATTTAGCATGCAATAATGTAGCCTAAAATCAAGTGTAGGCCTATTATTTTGCCCGATCGCATATAGGCAACTCCAAAGGTCCGCAGAAGTTGTGAAATATGAACACGAGAGTCACATGCTTTTGAAAATAGGATTTGTATTATTTTCTATCGGTATCATGATGAAGACACTACAGCTGATCCCTAACAAAGTAGAGTGAGGGTAGGAAAGATGAAACGTGGATCAAAAAGGCATGGGCTTGGATTTGTTTATTTGGATCCCTGTTAGCTTTTGCAGAAGCAGTAGCTACTCTTCGTGGGGTTCACAAAAAACACAAAACATAAGTAAGAAAACACTGATACACAAGGACAGTCACACAATTTTAAAATACATTTACGTCATTTAGCAGACGCTCTTATCCAGAGCGACTTACAAATAGGTGCATTCACCCTATAGCCAGTGGGATAACCACTTTACAATATCAATATCTTTTTTTTTTTAGGGGGGGGGGGGGGTAGAAGGATTACTTTATCCTATCCCAGGTATTCCTTAAAGAGGTGGGGTTTCAAATGTCTCCGGAAGGTGGTGAGTGACTCCGCTGTCCTGGCGTCGTGAGGGAGCTTGTTCCACCATTGGGGTGCCAGAGAAGCGAACAGTTTTGACTGGGCTGAGCGGGAACTATGCTTCCGCAGAGGAAGGGGAGCCAGCAGGCCAGAGGTGGATGAACGCAATGCCCTCGTTTGGATGTAGGGACTGATCAGAGCCTGAAGGTACAGAGGTGCCGATCCCCTCACAGCTCCATAGGCAAGCACCATGGTCTTGTAACAGATGCGAGCTTCAACTGGAAGCCAGTGGAGTGTGCGGAGGAGCGGGGTGACGTGAGAGAACTTGGGAAGGTTGAACACCAGACGGGCTGCGCCATTCTGGATGAGTTGTAGGGGTTTAATGGCACAGGCAGGGAGCCCAGCCAACAGCGAGTTGCAGTAATCCAGACGGGAGATGACAAGTGCCTGGATTAGGACCTGTGCCGCTTCCTGTGTAAGGCAGGGTCGTACTCTCCGAATGTTGTAGAGCATGAACCTGCAGGATCGGGTCACCGCCTTGATGTTAGCGGAGAACGACAGGGTATTGTCCAGGGTCACACCAAGGCTCTTCGCACTCTGGGAGGAGGACACAATGGAGTTGTCAACCGTGATGGCGAGATCATGGAACGGGCAGTCCTTCCCCGGGAGGAAGAGCAGCTCCGTCTTGCCAAGGTTCAGCTTGAGGTGGTGATCCGTCATCCATACTGATATGTCTGCCAGACATGCAGAGATGCGATTCGCCACCTGGTTATCAGAAGGGGGAAAGGAGAAGATTAGTTGTGTATCGTCAGCGTAGCAATGATAGGAGAGGCCATGTGAGGATATGACAGAGCCAAGTGACTTGGTGTATAGGGAGAATAGGAGAGGGCCTAGAACTGAGCCCTGGGGGACACCAGTGGTGAGAGCACGTGGTGCGGAGACAGCTTCTCGCCACGCCACTTGGTAGGAGCGACCGGTCAGGTAGGACGCGATCCAGGAGTGAGCCGCGCCGGAGATGCCCAGCTCGGAGAGGGTGGAGAGGAGGATCTGATGGTTCACAGTATCAAAGGCAGCAAAATACAATGATATACAAACAATACAACACAAAAATAATACAAACAATACAACTAAAGAATAATGCGTGTGTTCGAGTGTCTGTGTGTGCTTGGGCTCTGTTTCAAAATATGACTTTTTATATGATAGCGGTTCCACACATTCCTGTGACAAGTTGTGTGGGAACAATATTATTTGTATTTTATTCAGTTATATTCCATTATATTCTTACTATAAAGTATGTGTGTATTGTCTGTTTAATGAACAACGTTATTAAACAAATTTGTAAGCATTAGGCTACCAACAGAGTAAATGTGACAATGTGGTGGTCCCACCTAGCTATCTTAAGATGAATGCACTAACTGTAGGTTGCTCTGGATAAGAACTTCTGCTAAAATTACTAAAATGTTAATGTAAATGTAAAATGGATTCAAAATGGTTGCCCTCTGCTGGTGATTTGTGATTGGTTACATTGCCTACTATGCCAATGGAAAACGTGCATAAAGATGGCTGCCTCTATGCATTTACCACAAATGCCTCGTTTGCCAAATTCACCATATTGTAGATTGCTCTACATTACTTTTTTTGTATGGGCATTAGCATAGTATGATCCCAATTCTAGCTCGAAGATGCCAGCAATTTCAAAAACAGAGAAAGTAGATTGTGCTGATTTATTGGTGCATTGAACCATGTCGTGCCCCGTAGTTTAGAAACTGTGGATAGAGCTAAAATAATGTAATTATCTGTAATCTGCCATCTTTATGTCATATCAAAATACTAATCATATTATAGAGCAAACGGTAAAGCTTCATATGACACCAATTATTGCTTTGTAGCACCTACAGATATAACATAGTCTTAAAGGAGGCCTGGGTGAGGCCAAAATGTTGCAAATATTCCAACTTCAATTATGCATTAAGATCAAATGTCAAATATTTGTAAACAATCCTTCCTCCAAAAGGACCCTTCTATGGATTACATTTTGTGAGGAATCTGTGGCCATGTGCAGATAATGCTTAACTGATTTCAATATAACTGATGCAAAACCATTTTCAGTCTCTTACCCTTTCTTACCCCAGGTCCATCAAATTCACTCAACCTTGCAGTCCTTTTTAGCCTTAATATAACAGAGAATCAGAGCTGAGGGAGAGATCTATGAAAGATATAACATTATCAAAGTTTAAGATTAGCCATGTTTCATAAAACACTTAAGATGTTGGGCCCTATAGTATAGCCTATAGATAGATGAGTAACGTCGAGCCCTGACAGGGGATTAGCCTAAATCAAGCAGGTTATGTTGGGTACCTCCTTCATCAAAAACCTAAAGGCTAAGTCTGGGTCTACTAATATCTCATATAGGCTAGTTGCCGAGTATCTTTGAAAGTCTTATAGGCCTAGTACTATACGCAGCATACCAATTAAGTGGTGATGCTTGTTTCCATGGCGCAATTTCTGGATGCAAAGTTGTGTGTGCATTCACAGATTAAAATGATGGCACGCGAAAGGAAAACGTCCTGCTTGATTGTAGATCATGCACTCAAGAATATGGAAGATTTGAGCCTCCACTAAGGTTGATTACCATAAAATGTTCAATGCTTTCCTGATATTCATTTAGAATTTATTAAAAAATATGTTTAAAACAATTATATAAACTCAGCAAAAAAAGAAACGTCCTCTCACTGTCAACTGCGTTTATTTTCAGCAAACTTAACAAATATTTGTATGAACATAACAAGATTCAACAACTGAGACAAACTGAACAAGTTCCACAGACGTGACTTACAGAAATGGAATAATGTGTCCCTGAACAAAGGGGGGGTCAAAATCAAAAGTAACAGTCAGTATCTGGTGTGGCCACCAGCTGCATTAAGTACTGCAGTGCATCTCCTCCTCATGGACTGCACCAGATTTGCCAGTTCTTGCTGTGAGATGTTACCCCACCCTTCCACCAAGGCACCTGCAAGTTCCCGGACATTTCTGAGGGGAATAGCCCAAGCCCTCACCCTCCGATCCAACAGGTCCCAGACGTGCTCAATGGGATTTGAGATCCGGGCTCTTCGCTAGCCATGGCAGAACACTGACATTCCTGTCTTGCAGGAAATCACACACAGAACGAGCAGTATGGCTGGTGGCATTTCCATGCTGGAGGGTAATGTCAGGATGAGCCTGCAGGAAGGGTACCACATGAGGGAGGAGGATGTCTTCCCTGTAACGCACAGCATTGAGATTGCCTACAATGACAACAAGCTCAGTCCGATGATGCTGTGACACACCGCCCCAGACCATGACGGACCCTCCACCTCCAAATCGATCCCGCTCCAGAGTACAGGCCTCGGTGTAACGCTCATTCCTTCGACGATAAACGCGAATCCAACCATCACCCCCGGTGAGACAAAACCGCGACTCGTCAGTGAACAGCACTTTTTGCCAGTCCTGTCTGGTCCAGCGACGGTGGGTTTGTGCCCATAGGCAACAACGTTGCCGGTGATGTCTGGTGAGGACCTGCCTTAAAACAGGCCTACAAGCCCTCAGTCCAGCCTCTCTCAGCCTATTGCGGACAGTCTGAGCACTGATGGAGGGATTGTGTGTTCCTGGTGTAACTCGGGCAGTTGTTGCCATCCTGTACCTGTCCCGCAGGTGTGATGTTTGGATGTACCGATCCTGTGCAGGTGTTGTTACACGTGGTCTGCCACTGCGAGGACAATCAGCTGTCCGTCCTGTCTCCCTGTAGCGCTGTCTTAGGCGCCTCACAGTAAGGATATTGCAATTTATTGCCCTGGCCACATCTGCAGTCCTCATGCCTCCTTGCAGCATGCGTAAGGCACATTCATGCAGATGCGCGGGGACCCTGGGCATATTTCTTTTGGTGTTATTCAGAGTCAGTAGAAAGGCCTCTTTAGTGTCCTAATTTTTCATAACTGTGACCTTAATTGCCTACCGTCTGTAAGCTGTTAGTGTCTTAACGACCGTTCCACAGGTGCATGTTCATTAATTGTTTATGGTTCACTGAACAAGCATGGGAAACAGTGTTTAAACCCTTTACAATGAAGATCGATGAAGTTATTTGGAATTATCTTTGAAAGACAGGGTCCTGAAAAAGGTTTATATACATACAGGACAGGTCATCCGATGCAGCCCTCCATCACTCTCCTTGGTCAAATAGCCCTTACACAGCCTGGAGGTGTGTTTTGGGTCATTGTCCTGTTGAAAAACAAATGATAATCCCACTAAGCGCAAACTAGATGGGATGGCGTATCGCTGCAGAATGCTGTGTGCCTTGAATTCTAAATAAATCACAGACAGTGTCACCAGCAAAGTACCCCCACAACATCACACCTCCTCCTCCATGCTTCATGGTGGGAAATAAACATGCAGCAATCACCCGTTCACCTACTCTCAAAGACAGGGCGTTTGAAACCAAAAATCTCAAATTTGGACTCATCAGACCAAAGGTCAGATTTCCACCGGTCTAATGTCCATTGCTCGTGTTTTTTGGCCCAAGTAAGTCTCTTCTTATTATTGGTGTCCTTTAGTAGTGGTTTCATTGCAGCAATTCGACCATGAAGGCCTGATTCACGCAGTCTCCTCTGAACAGTTGATGTTGAGATGTGTCTGTTACTTGAACTTTGTGAAGTTTTATTTGGGCTGCAATTTCTGAGGCTGGTAACTCTAATGAACTTATCCTCTGCAGTAGAGGTAACTCTGGATCTTCCTTTCTTGTGGCGGTCCTCATGAGAGCCAGTTTCATCATAGCGCTTGATGGTTTTTGCGACTGCACTTGAAGAAACTTTCAAAGTTCTTGAAATTTTCCAGATTGACTGACCTTCATGTCTTGAAGTAATAATGGACTGTCGTTTCTCTTTGCTTATTTGAGCTGTTCTTGCCATAATATGGACTTGGTCTTTTACCAAATAGGGCTATCTTCTGTATACCACCCCTACCTTGTCACAACACAACTGATTGGCTCAAACGCATTAAGAAGGAAAGAGATTCCATAAATTAACTTTTAAGAAGGCACACCTATTAATTGAAATACATTCCAGGTAACTACCTCATGAAGCTGGTTGAGAGAATGCCAAGAGTGTGCAAAGCTGTCATCAAGGCAAAGGGTGGCTACTTTGAAGAATCTCAAATATAAAATATATTTTGATTTGTTTAACACTTTTTTGGTTACCACATGATTCCATATGTGTTATTTCATAGTTCTGGGATTGATTTGCACTTTCGCACCAAAGTACGTTCATCTCTAGGAGACAGAACGTGTCTCCTTCCTGAGCGGTATGACGGCTGTGTGGTCCCATGGTGTTTATACTTGCGTACTATTGTTTGTACAGATGAACGTGGTACCTTCAGGCAATTGGAAATTGCTCCCAAGGATGAACCAGACTTGTGGAGGTCTACAATTATTTTTATGGGGTCTTGGCTGATTTCTTTTGATTTTCCCATGATGTCAAGCAAAGAGGCACTGAGTTTGAAGGTAGGCCTTGAAATACATCCACAGGTACACCTCCAATTGACTCAAATGATGTCAATTAGCCTATCAGAAGCTTCTAAAACCATTCCATCATTTTCTGGTATTTTCCAAGCTGTTTAAACGCCTAGTCAACTTAGTGTATGTAAACTTCTGACCCACTGGAATTGTGATACAGTGAATTATAAGTGAAATAATCTGTCTGTAAACAATTGTTGGAAAAATGACTTGTGTCATGCACAAAGTAGATGTCCTAACCAACTTGCCAAAACTATAGTTTGTTAAAATGAAATTTGTTGAGTGGTTGAAGTGTATGTAAACTTCCGACTTCAACTGTATGTATATATATATATATATATATATATATATATATATATATATATATATATATAAAATGCAAATGAATTACTTAAAAATCATACAATGTGATTTTCTGGATTTTTGTTTTAGATTCCGTCTCTCACAGTTGAAGTGTACCTATGATAAAAATTACAGACCTCTACATGCTTTGTAAGTAGGAAAACCTGCAAAATCGGCAGTGTATCAAATACTTGTTCTCCCCACTGTATATACTGCTCAAAAAAATAAAGGGAACACTAAAATAACACATCCTAGATCTGAATGAATGAAATAATCTTATTAAATACTTTTTTCTTTACATAGTTGAATGTGCAGACAACAAAATCACACAAAAATTATCAATGGAAATCAAATGTATCAACCCATGGAGGTCTGGATTTGGAGTCACCCTCAAAATTAAAGTGGAAAACCACACTACAGGCTGATCCAACTTTGATGTAATGTCCTTAAAACAAGTCAAAATGAGGCTCAGTAGTGTGTGTGGCCTCCACGTGCCTGTATGACCTCCCTACAATGCCTGGGCATGCTCCTGATGAGGTGGCGGATGGTCTCCTGAGGGATCTCCTCCCAGACCTGGACTAAAGCATCCGCCAACTCCTGGACAGTCTGTGGTGCAACGTGGCGTTGGTGGATGGAGCGAGACATGATGTCCCAGATGTGCTCAATTGGATTCAGGTCTGGGGAACGGGCGGGCCAGTCCATAGCATCAATGCCTTCCTCTTGCAGGAACTGCTGACACTCCAGCCACATGAGGTCTAGCATTGTCTTGCATTAGGTGGAACCCAGGGCCAACCGCACCAGCATATGGTCTCACAAGGGGTCTGAGGATCTCATCTCGGTACCTAATGGCAGTCAGGCTACCTCTGGCGAGCACATGGAGGACTGTGCGGCCCCCCAAAGAAATGCCACCCCACACCATGACTGACCCACCGCCAAACCGGTCATGCTGGAGGATGTTGCAGGCAGCAGAACGTTCTCCACGGCGTCTCCAGACTCTGTCACATGTGCTCAGTGTGAACCTGCTTTCATCTGTGAAGAGCACAGGGCGCCAGTGGCGAATTTGCCAATCTTGGTGTTCTCTGGCAAATGCCAAACGTCCTGCACGGTGTTGGGCTGTAAGCACAACCCCCACCTGTGGACGTCGGGCCCTCATACCACCCTCATGGAGTCTGTTTCTGACCGTTTGAGCAGACACATGCACATTTGTGGCCTGCTGGAGGTCATTTTGCAGGGCTCTGGCAGTGCTCCTCCTGCTCCTCCTTGCACAAAGGCGGAAGTAGCAGTCCTGCTGCTGGGTTGTTGCCCTCCTACGGCCTCCTTCACGTCTCCTGATGTACTGGCCTGTCTCCTGGTAGCGCCTCCATGCTCTGGACACTACGCTGACAGACACAGCAAACCTTCTTGCCACAGCTCGCATTGATGTGCCATCCTGGATGAGCTGCACTACCTGAGCCACTTGTGTGGGTTGTAGACACTGTCTCATGCTACCACTAGAGTGAAAGCACCGCCAGCATTCAAAAGTGACCAAAACATCAGCCAGGAAGCAAAGGAACTGAGAAGTGGTCTGTGGTCACCACCTGCAAAACCAGTCCTTTATTGGGGGTGTCTTGCTAATTGCCTATAATTTCCACCTGTTGTCTATTCCATTTGCACAACAGCAAGTGACATTTATTGTCAACCAGTGTTGCTTCCTAAGTGGACAGTTTGATTTCACAGAAGTGTGATTGACTTGGAGTTACATTGTGTTGTTTAAGTGTTCCCTTTATTTTTTTGAGCAGTGTATATATATATATATTTCTGCCAAGACGCGCTTTTAAAATGGACAGTCTCAATTGCTCAATGACTGGAAGTCTATGGGAACAGATAGCGCTAACGCTAGTAGCAATGCCCCCTTCTCGATAGAAAATTGTGGGGACTGCTAGGTCCCAAATCATCATGTATGGCACAGCATAGTGCAGAACATGAATAATAATAATAATAATATGCCATTTAGCAGACACTTTTATCCAAAGCGACTTACAGTCATGCGCGCATACATTTTTGTGTATGGGTGGTCCCGGGGATCGAACCCACTACCTTGGCGTTACAAGCGCCGTGCTCTACCAGCTGAGCTACAGAGGACCATTTCTTCATTATGAAGAAATGTCTTTGATACTGCTCTACTGTTTGTGTATTTTTCTAAAGACATTTGCTGAACAGATGTAAGAAAAGCATGTGTGTTTAACAAATAGCCTAGTGCTTATTAATTTAAATGAGCTAGGAAAGGTCAAGATACAAAAAGGACTAATACCATCAAGGTAATATGTAAACAATAGGAGTTCAAAACATCAAATCTAGCATCAAGCAGCTTGAACTGGCCCACTGTATAAATGCCATGCATGTTGGTTTATATCAGGGATGGGCAACTCCAGTCCTCGGGGGCCGGAGTGGTGTCACTTTTCCCCCATCCCTAGCAAACACAGCTGATTAAACTAATTGCATTCTAAACTGAAGATCATAATTAGTTGATTATTGGAGTCAGGTGTGTTTGCTGGGGCAAAAGTGTGACACCAATTAGGCCCCCATGGACTGGAGTTGCTCATCCCTGGTCCATCCTCTCCTAGCTTCCTTTTGAAAATGGTCAAAGGTAGTCAAGGAGCGGAGGCGAGGAAACGTGGAAATAAATGCGCTTGTATGAAATGAGACTTCTCCACTCGCATCTCATCAGGCAAATTACATTTACAGGGGTGGAAGCCCTAAATAAATGTGTAAAGTGATATAAACTAATTTAACTAGTTGTGCAAGACATTTTATACACTGAACAAAAATATAAAACGCAACATATAAGTGTTGGTCCCATGTTTAATGAGCTGAAATAAAATAACCCAGAAATGTTCCATACGCACAAAAAACATAGTTCTCTCAAATGTTGTAAACACATTTGTGCACATCCCTGTTAGTGAGCATTCTCCTTTGCCAAGATAATCCATCCACCTAACAGGTGTGGCATATCAAGAAGATGATTAAACAGCATGATATTACAAAGGTGCACCTTGTGCTGGGGACAATAAAATACCACTTTAAAAAGTGCAGTTTTGTCACACAACATAATGCCAAAAATGTCTCAAGTTGAGGGAGCATGCAATTGGCATGCTGACTGCAGGAATGTCCACCAGAGCTGATGCCAGAGAATGTAATGTTTATTTCTCTACCGTAAGATGTCGTTTTAGAGAATTTGGCAGTACGTCCAACCGGCCTCACAACCACAGACCATGTGTAACCACACTAGCCTAGGACCTCCACATCTGGCTTCTTCACCTGCGGGATCATCTCAGACCAGCCACTTCGGACAGCTGATGAAACTGAGGAGTATTTCTGTCTGTAATAATGCCCTTTTATGGGGAAAAAATCATTCTGATTGGATGGGCATGGCTCCCCAGTGGGTGGGCCTTGCTCCCATGTGGGTGGGCCTATGCCCACCCACATGTCCCGTCCCGTTACGACGTCGACCACGAAGATTCCATCTGCTAGCCCCAGCCCGCTAGCACACGCTAGCCGTGGCCTCTTGCTCGCTAGTGCTTTAGCAGCCCCCGAACTACCTCCGAACTATCCTATTGCTGTTCACCGGACCTTATGATAACTCAGCTATACAGCTGATGTCTACTGGACTGTTCCTTTTTACGGTACTGCATCCTGTTTATGTTTAGCCTCAGCCCAAACTGTGTCGTCATTACCAGCTGTTGTCTTAGCTCTCTCAAATTACACCTGTGATTGCTTTATGCCTCTCTCCCATGTCACTATGGTTAGCTTATTGTTGTTTCGGTTATTTCTAATTGTACTATTTCACTGTAGATCCCCCAGCCCAGCTAAATCTGCCTTAGATAGCTCCTTTGTCCCACCCCCCATACACGCGGAGACCGACTCAATTGATGCCTCCAGTGATGCTCTCTCTTTCATTGTTACCCAACGCTTAGGTTTACCTCCACTTTACTCATATCCTTGTCTGTACATAATGCCCTGAATCTTTTCTACAACGCCCGGAAATCTGCCCCCTTTATTCTATGTACCCAACGCACTAGAAGACCAGTTCTTAAAGCCTTTAGCCGTATCCTTATTCTAGTCCTCCGGTGATGTAGAGGCTAACCCAGGCCCTGCAGCCCTCAGTATCACTCCTACTCCCCAGGCGCTATCATTTGCTGACTTCTGTAATCGCAAAAGCCTTGGTTTCTTGCATGTAAATATCAGAAGTCTACTTCCTAAGTTTGAGTTATTCACTGCGTTAGCACACTCCGCCAACCCTGATGTTCTAGCAGTGTCTGAATCCTGGCTTAGGAAGGCCACCAAAAATTCTGAAATTTCCATCCCCAACTATAACATTTTCCGTCTAGATAGAACTGCCAAAGGGGGTGGAGTTGCAATCTACTGTAGAGAGAGCCTGCAGAGCTCTATCATACTATCCAGGTCGGTGCCCAAACAGTTTGAGCTTCTACTTCTAAAAATCCACCTTTCCAGAAATAAGTCTCTCACTGTTGACACTTGCTACAGACCCCCCTCAGCCCCCAGCTGTGCCCTGGACACCATATGTGAATTGATTGCCCCCCATTTATCCTCAGAGTTCATACTGCTTGGTGACCTAAATTGGGATATGCTTAACACCCCGGCCATCCTACAATCCAAACTAGATGCCCTCAATCTCACACAAATTATCAACGGACCTACCAGGTACAACCCTAAATCCGTAAACATGGGTACCCTCATAGATATCATCCTGACTAACTTACCCTCTAAATACACCTCCGCTGTCTTAAACCAGGATCTCAGCGATCACTGCCTTATTGCCTGCGTCCGTAACGGGTCCGCGGTCAAACGACCACCCCTCATCACTGTCAAACGCTCCCTAAAACACTTTAGCGAGCAGGCCTTCCTAATTGACCTGGCCCAGGTATCCTGGATGGATTTAGATCTCATTCCGTCAGTAGAGGATGCCTGGTTGTTCTTTAAAAGTAATTTCCTCTCAATCTTAAATAAACATGCCCCATTCAAAAAATACAGAACTAAGAACAGATATAGCCCCTGGTTCTCCTCAGACTTGACTGCCCTTGACCAGCACAAAAACATCCTGTGGCGTACTGCATTAGCATCAAATAGCCCCCGCGATATGCAACTTTTCAGGGAAGTTAGGAACCAATATACACAAGCAGTCAGGAAAGCAAAGGCTAACTTTTCCAAACAGAAATTTGCATCCTGTAGCACTAACTCCAAAAAGTTTTGGGACACTGTAAAGTCCATGGAGAATAAGAGCACTTCCTCCCAGCTGCCCACTGCACTGAGGCTAGGAAACACTCACCACCGATAAATCTACAATAATCGAGAATTTCAACAAGCATTTTGCTACGGCTGGCCATGCTTTCCACCTGGCTACCACTACCCCGGCCACCAGCTCTGCACCCTCCGCTGCAACTAGCCCATGCCCCCCCCACTTCTCCTTCACACAAATTCAGACAGCTGATGTTCTGAAAGAGCTGCAAAATCTGGACCCCTACAAATCAGCTGGGCTAGACAATCTGGACCCTTTCTTTCTAAAACTAGCCGCCGAAATTGTCGCAACCCCTATTACTAGCCTGTTCAACCTCTCTTTTGTAACGTCTGAGATCCCCAGAGATTGGAAAGCTGCCGCGGTCATCCCCCTCTTCAAAGGGGGTGACACTCTAGATCCAAACTGTTACAGACCTATACCCATCCTGCCCTGCCTTTCGAAAGTTTTTGAAAGCCAAGTTAACAAACAGATCACCGACCATTTCGAATCCCACCGTACCTTCTCCGCTATGCAATCCGTTTTCCGAGCTGGTCATGGGTGCACTTCAGCCACGCTCAAGGTCCTAAACGATATTATAACCGCGATCGATAATAGACAGTACTGTGCAGCCGTCTTCATCGACCTGGCCAAGGCTTTCGACTCTGTCAACCACCGCATTCTTATTGGCAGACTAAATAGCCTTGGTTTCTCAAATGACTGCCTCGCCTGGTTCACCAACTACTTCTCAGATAGAGTTCAATGTGTCAAATCGGAGGGCCTGTTGTCTGGACCTATGGCAGTCTCTATGGGGGTGCCACAGGGTTCAATTCTTGGGCCAACTCTTTTCTCCGTGTATATCAATGATGTCGCTCTTGCTGCTGGTGACTCTCAGATCCACCTCTACGCAGACGACACCATTTTGTATACATCTGGCCCTTCATTGGACACTGTGGTAACAAACCTCCAAACGAGCTTCAATGCCATACAACACTCCTTCAGTAGCCTCCAACTGCTCTTAAACACTAGTAAAACTAAATGCATGCTCTTCAATCGAACGCTGCTGGCACCCGCCCACCCGACTAGAATCACCACTCTCGACGGGTCTGACCTAGAGTATGCCGTAAAAATGCCCTCCCAGGCCCACCCATGGCAGCGCTCCTGCCCAGCCATGTAAAATCCATAGATTAGGGCCTAATTAAATTGATTTCAATTGACTGATTTCCTTATATGAACCTTAACTCAGTAAAATATTTTAAATTGTTGAATGTTGCCTTAATATTTTTGTTCAGTGTAGATAGAAGGATAAGTAGTGTATCGTTTTGAAACGCTTTTGAGAAAACAACAGCTGATTCAAATGTTTAAACACTTCCGCGCTAGCCGCCGGGAGGATACTCTGGTGTATCCTCTGCCGAAGTAGGTTATCGAGGATGGGAGAATACTAACAAATTAACACACTCCTCAACCATTTGACCACTTATCGGTTTCCGGGTCACGGAGGAGAGGAGGACGAAGCAGTCGAGGAGAGGACAGACTTTTTCATAATTGAGAATCTCCCATAGAGCCATTACATTTCTTTGACTCCTAGATGGCCTAGGCCTATACTTTTGCAACCACTCTGAAGCACTTCTTATTTTTTTATTTTATTATGTAGTTTTTAACCCATTTTCTCCCATTGCTAATTTAGTTACGACCTTGTCTCATCACTGCAACTCCTCAATAGGCTTGGGAGAGGCGAAGGTCGAGACATGCGTCCTCCAAAACATGACCCCCCTGGCCGCCTACTTCTTAAGACACTGCTCGCTTAACCCAGAAGTCAGCCGCACCAATGTGTCGGAGGAAACATCGTTCACAAGGAGTCGCTAGAGCGTGATGAGCCAAGGAAAGCCCCCCTCCCGGTCACGGCCGGTTGTGACACAGCCTGGGTGCAGTGGCGCCTTACTGCTAACGTTATTGATCATTTAAATATAGCCTAGCTAATTGATTATTGAGACAGGCTAGTTTTGATTTGCGCGTTCCAAAATAGTTTCAGGTGTGGTGACACAAAAAGTGTTTTCCCTTTCAATAGCATCTAGCCTTCTCATCAAATACTGAATAAATACTAGTGACTCAAAATAGACTAATTCATGACTCAAAATAAACCTCTAGTGGCATAGTGGAGAGGTGCCAAGTCATGGTATTGTGCATTAGGGCGTAAGCTCGTCAAAGGATTAAGGCAGGGGAATGACACTGCAAAGGTCGGTAACCTCAAATTCTGAAAGGACTTGCAGTTTGTCTAAAGATTAGACTGTTACCGTGCTTACTCCATGGATATCAGTCTGAAAGAAGTCGCTGTAAAAATGATGCAAGTCTCTACAAGCCAGAATGTTGAATACAATTATATTTAAACACACTTTACCGGTTGTCCATGCTGTTGGTCCTTTTGCAAGTAGGAAGTGGAGATACGGTAACCACAGGAAAGTGTTGTTTACTCAACTTTTTTGCAGCGCTGCTAGGTTCTGTTGCTTGTATTTTCCATCTCCTGATGCATTTCTCGTGATGCACAATATGTAAACAATAGCCGAATGTAACCGAACGTTGTCAACCAAAGCACGTTCCCTCGCTATCAGCTGGAAGAGCTTGTGAAATTTGCTAGCCAATTGCGTGGGACAACTTTTGGTCTGTGCTTCGGTTAATCTCTGCCATTGTTGACATATTGTGCAACTCGCGTGCAAATTGCGTTAGCATTGAAAATACAAACCGACATACAGACCAGCGTACTGAAAGTCTTGTTAATAACACTACTCTGTGGATATTTTGTCTCAGATTACCTCCTACATAAGGACAAAATCAGCAGACAACAGGTAAAGTACGTTCAAATGAAGTTTATTCAACAGTCTGACTTGTGATGTGACTGTTCACAAAAAGTGACCCTACATGTTAGAGACGAGAGAGAAGTCTTCCACTCTCGGATTTGTAGCGGCTAACCTGCAGTAAGAGTCCAGTCTACTTTCCTTCCATCTGCCTCCAAGCACCCTTTTATATATTTTTGGGACTAGCAGGGAAGTGACTATTCTATTTTTACTCTATCTTCATCCCTCTCAGTTGACTATGAGGGTGTGTTATCATATCATCATAAAGTAGGCTACTGTGCCAGTTCACTGGATATTTCGAAATTGTATTGAAAATGCTGGTTAAAATAATACATACATTGAAATAGTATGCCAGTGAGGTGAGTATACATTGCAAACCTTTATTGATTTCATGGAAAGCAGAGTTTGTGTGAGCTCCCTCCCTTCTGCATGAGATAAGCCTTTGGCAACTTTTTTTGACATCATTCATCTGGGTCGTTATGACCTCATTTGTAGCACTGGTTGTTACTGTGTAACATTAGCATGCCAAAAAAGGAAGCCAAGAATCAGTGACGTATGGGAAAATGTGAGTTTGCTCAAGCTAACTAGGGGCATGTCCTGAAAAGCCTGTCACACAAGAATCTCACTATTTTAATCACGTGGCGTTAATAAAGCCTGACGTTAACAGGAAAGGCTTAACTTGTTCGCTAGTTAGCTAAATTAACATTAATACTTTTCTTCAAAACTGGTAACTACATTTTAGGAGGAAACAGCACGTTTCTATGAGATACCCATGGGACGTCACATGACAAAGGAAGTCTTGTTAGCTGGTTTACCCAGAGACCTAAACCCCCGTCTGTCATCCATGCCATGGGGGCGCATGTTTTCTAGTAGTGACAGCTGACAGGGAGGGGAACACGGAAGGGGCTCCCGAAACAGCTACTAAGTAAAATGATATAAGCCAATGTATTACTGAGCAGCAATGAATGTGGTTCCCAAGCCAGACTAACAGAAACACAGATAAATAATTGACCACGGCTAGATAGCTAGTACTAGGCTATCATACCTTTGCTTTGCCGGCCTCGAGCTTCTTTTGCCTCTCCTCGTCTTCCATTACCGTTGTCACTGTGGCTGAGAGAAGAGGAAAAGGGCTTCATGCGAAGTGTCAGCGAATACGCCCAGAGTCTGTGGGGAAAGTGTCTGTTTGTTGACGTTACATTTGTTTGGTAATGGTTTCAAATCACTGCGACAGGCTTGCATTAGGAGCAGACAGACTCCTTGTTACAGCCACATCTTCGCCGCCATGTTATCCACGTAAACGCGAGACTGATTGTGTTGACGTCACATAGGTGGCTGTTTTCTGCAGCTACGCCTCTTTATGAACGTACTGTAGGAAATGTAAAAACATGTAATTTGATTTAAAAAATGACAGAGGGAAACATACTGTGTACACAAATTAAATATACATTGATTATAGATTGAAATCATTTGCATGAGTAAATAAATATTATGTTTTCTGTGGAGGTGCAAACAAGGTCACTGTGTTGCACAATTGCTCATCATGATTCATTTCACATTGCCCCAGTTAAAACATTCACCATTTTGTTCAAACTGAGCTTAGGGTTAAAAAAAAGTATATATATATATATATATATATATATATATATATATATATATATATATATATATATATATAATGACGAATTTATAGTGGTCTCTCCTTATGATTATTTCTGCAATTGTGGTATTAAAACTAATATAAAATTAGAGCGCAATTTGCACATAGTCATAGAACATGTCCGTCTGACATTTGCAGTAATTGCTTCCACCCCAACCCCATCACAAATTATACCACTTATAGCATTTAGGGACATTCTCTGGATTTGCCATTGAGCTGGAAAACCATGCAAACCCTGATAATCAGCATTGTAAATGTGATTTAGGTCACGAAAGTTCACAGAAAATAAACACCAAACCTTTTAAGCTTCTACAGACAGTGACACCTACATACCGGCAGCAGCAGGAGAAGGGGGTCTGTGTCTTCGCCTGACGGGAGCTGTGCAGCTTATGGTCTGGCAGATCTTGAATTCCACCCATCTTTTCTTCGACATCCTTAGCTACCCACTTTTAATCCCAAATAAAGGTGTTCAGATCCCACCTGTGAACTTTTGTTGTCTGTGCTGTACCTTCAGCAAGACCTGCTGCCCATCTGAAAGTTTTAGGCCTTTAATAATGGATGGCTCTGAGGAGTACAATGCCAGCGGCACAGTAACCCAAGCACCACCACGATTGCAGGGCATCAACAAATGGATCAGGAAACTGCAACTGCTCTAGATTATGTCAACACAGTGACAGCTTTCATAGAGTCCACAAAGACATTTTGAGGGTTAAACTATAGGGGTTGTGTTGGTTTGATAGAGATTGTTTGTTTCCAGTTGAAAGAAACAATGAGGGACTGAGAAGATGCTGAGAATAGGCTATGGGACATTACTGTTGGTCACATAACTAGTTCCCTATTGATTTAGTCTTGAGGATCCCGAGCCTGCTAAAAGCCATTATCAGAGAGAGCAATCCAGGGAAGCTATAACACAGGAGGATGGTGGAACCTTAATTGGGGAGGACAGGCTCGTGGTAATGGCTGGAGCAGAATTAGTGGAATGGTATCAAATACGTCAAAATCATGGTTTCCATGTGTTTGATGCCATTCCATTTGCGCCGTTCCAGACATTATTATGAGCCGTCCTCCCCTCAGCAGCCTCCTGTGGGCTATAGGATTATGGGATATTCACAGTCATATCAGATACCGCTGCTGCCCTATGTCTCAACAGAATCCTCTAACAAATACATTTGAGGAAGAAATGCTACAAGACCATGATTTGCACTATAACAAATGTATTTTTTATTTATTTATTTATTTCACCTTTATTTAACCAGGTAAGCCAGTTGAGAACAAGTTCTCATTTACAACTGCGACCTGGCCAAGATAAAGCAAAGCAGTGCGATAAAAACAACAACACAGAGTTACATATGGGGTAAACAAAACATAAAGTCAAAAATACAACAGAAAATATATATACAGTGTGTGCAAATGTAGCAAGTTATGGAGGTAAGGCAATAAATAGGCCATGGTGCAAAATAGTTACAATTTCGTATTAACACTGGAATGATAGATGTGCAAAAGATGATGTGCAAATAGAGATACTGGGGTGCAAATTAGCAAAATAACAATATGGGGATGAGGTAGTTGGGTGGGCTAATTTCAGAATGGCTGTGTACAGGTGCAGTGATCGGTAAGCTGCTCTGACAACTGATGCTTAAAGTTAGTGAGGGAGATAAGAGTCTCCAGCTTCAGAGATTTTTGCAGTTCGTTCCAGTCATTGGCAGCTGAGAACTGGAAGGAATGGTGGCCAAAGGAGGTGTTGGCTTTGGGGATGACCAGTGAGATATACCTGCTGGAGCGCAGACTACGGGTGGGTGTTGCTATGGTGACCAGTGAGCTAAGATAAGGCGGGATTTGCCTAGCAGTGATTTATAGATGACCTGGAGCCAGTGGGTTTGGCGACGAATATGTAGTGAGGGCCAGCCAACAAGAGCGTACAGGTTACAATGGTGAGTAGTATATGGGGCTTTGGTGACAAAACAGATGGCACTGTGATAGACTACATCCAATTTTCTGAGTAGAGTGTTGGAGGCTATTTTGTAAATGACATCGCCGAAGTCAAGGATCGGTAGGATAGCCAGTTTTACGAGTGCATGTTTGGCAGCATGAGTGAAGGAGGCTTTGTTGCGAAATAGGAAGCCGATTCTAGATCTAACTTTTGATTGGAGATGCTTAATGTGAGTCTGGAAGGAGAGTTTACAGTCTAACCAGACACCTAGGTATTTGTAGTTGTCCACATACTCTAGGTCAGACCCGCCGAGAGTAGTGATTCTAGCCGTGTGGGCGGGTGCAAGCAGCGTTCGGTTGAAGAGCATGCATTTAGTTTTACTAGTGTTTAAGAGCAGTTGGAGGCTATGGAATGAGTGTTGTTTGGTGTTGAAGCTCGTTTGGAGGTTTGTTAACACAGTTTCCAATGAAGGGCCAGATGTATACAAAATGGTGTTGTCCGCATAGAGGTGGATCCAAGCGTCACAAATTGTCAAGGCTAGAGCTAGAGCTGGCTGGTGGGTAGTGCAAGCCACGGACAATGGTTTACACCACTAACGGTGGCTAATAGCAAGTAGCTAGCTAGCTGGCTACAACAGCCATTCGGTTGCAGCTAGACTAGTTTCAGTTTAAGGTTCTTGATAAAAGTTATAAAGAAATAATAGAATCCTTTCCACGTTGGGTGAGGCGGGTTGCAGGAAAGTATATTTAGTTAAAGAATGAAAAGTAAAAAAGTAAAATTGAGAAATATATACAAATAGACAAAAAACAAAAAAACTGTCTATTTACACGAGGACACGACAGAAAACACGACCGCACTGCTACGCCATCTTGGAATACTTCAAAATGAGCATTCAAGGCTTGAATAAATAACCATAGCTTACAATAATAAACAAATGTATTGGTTAGGTGCCTTTCTGGATCACCAATAAAGTAGGCCAACATCAAGTAAAAAGAAAGAAACTTTATGCTCTCTATAAACTGAATTCCACCCTTTTTCACTGGGGTGACAGGCAGCCTAGTGGTAAAGCGTGTTTGTCCAGTAACCAAAAGGTCTCTGGTTCAAATCCCTGTGCTAATTAGGTGAAAATCTGTTGATGAATGCTTGAGGAAGGCACTTAACCCTATTTGCTCCTGTAGTCGCTCTAGATAAGAGTGTCTGCTAAAATATTAATAAGCTGACTGTTTAAGTGTGTGTATACAAATAAAGCAGTCACAGTTCAGCAGTAGACTTAGGCAATGCCATAAGGTATGGAGAGTGTTAATCATTTTAAGTGTATGTGCCCTGGGGTGAACATAACAACAACAAGCAAACTAAAGAAAAGCGTAAGCCAGCACAATAACTGTTCATCACATCAGTAAAGACATACAGATGAGACCCTCTTTATGAGCTGTGGATCGAGGTGGGAGAATAAGGAAACAGGGACAATCATAATGAAAAACACTGCACTGCTGATTATGGGGACAGAACGGTAAAATGGAGCCTCTCTCCAGCCAGAGACCGGCGCCAATGACAAAGCACTGTCTTTCCTTTAACATCAGAGCGGTGGAGGAAAAACTATTTGAATAATGAAGATAGCTCTGTGTGCCATATTAAAATATGTATGAGATGGAGGATGATACTTCTTCCCGCTGTCGCGCGATTGGTAGGTGAGCAGAGTCAGCTGGCTGCTGGGGCATTGGAAAATAAAGCATTTTCACAGTACTTGTGCACGTGACAATAAAAACATGAAACTTAGATGGTTGGCATGAATAAAGTATAAGGGCCTTTTGTGCCTCATCGTCCAATGCCAAACAACACCTTGATAGTTCTCCTTCTCCAGCTGTCACGCTCTGGCTCCGGGACTTTGTATTATTGAGCCAGGGTGTGTTCATTTTTGTTGTGTTTGGGGATTAGTTGGGTTGTTATTGGTTGTTTCATTGTTTGGTCCAGTGACTCCCAATCAGTGGTAACGAGTGTCAGCTGTCGGCTCGTTATCTCTGATTGGGAGCCATATTTAAACTGTCATTGTTCACCTTGGGGTGGTGGGTTTTTGTTCTATGTTCAGTCGTTGTCACTGAGGACTTCATGATCGTGTTTTGTTTTGTATTCTCGTGTATTGCATTAAAGTCAATATGTTCGCTACCAACGCTGCGCTTTGGTCCTACTTCATAGACGATCGTGACAGAAAAACCCACCACAACGAGACCAAGCAGCGTTTCCAGGAGTTGGATGACGAGTGGTGGAGACAGAAGAGCGAAGGTTGGGAGAGGACTATAGAGGCCTGGTCCACGGAGAGGAGAGACCCCCATAAAATTTTTAGGGGGGGGCTCACGACGTCGGGGCAGCAGGAGTACGGGGTAGAGGAGTGCAGTAGGTTGGCAGAAAAGGCCGCCAGGTTAAGGGGGCCACTGGTCACGAAGGGGAAGGAAGGTGTGGAGGCACGGCGAAGGGTACTGGGGTGTGTTACCAGTCCGGTCCGGCCCGTTCCTGATCCCCGTGTAGGGCCAGGGGTGTGTGTCCTCAGTGCGGTCCTGTCTGTTCCTGTGCCTCGCATGGAGCCTGTGGTGCGCGCCGCCAGCCCGACTCGGTCTGTTCCTGCTCCCTGCACCAAGTCTGTGGTGCGTTTCGTCAGCCCTGTCCGGCCCGTGCCTGCTCCCCACACCAAGCCAACGGTGTGCGTCGCTAGGCCGGCTCGACCTGTTCCTGCTCCCCGCACCAAGTCTGTGGTGCGTTTCGTCAGCCCTGTCCGGCCCGTCCCTGCTCCCCGCACCAGGCCAGTGGTGCGCGTCGCCAGCCCAGCCCGGCCTGTCCCTGCTCTACGCACCAAGCCAAAGGGGTGCGTCGCCAGCCCAGCCCGGCCGGTTCCTGCTCCACGCATCAAAACTACGGTGTGCGTCGCCGGCCCAACCCGGACTGTTCCTGCCACTCGCACCAGGCTAAGGGTGCGAGTCGTCAACCTGGGTCAGCTCGTTCCGGCTACTCGCACCAAACCAAGGGGGCGAGTCGTCAACCTGGTTCAGCCTATTCCTGCTACGCGCACCAAGCCAGGGAGGCGAGTCGTCAGCCTGAGGAGGTCCGTTCCGGCTCCACGCACCAAGCCGAGGATGCGTATCGTCAGCCAGGTCCGGTCCGTCCCTGCCTCACGCGCCAAGCTAGGGGTGCGCGTCATCAGTCCGGATCCAGCCAGCTGGGTGGGATCGGACCGGGGCCATTACGGGGGGATGGATGTAGGAAGGTGGTCAAGCCCGGAGCCAGAGCCGGAGCCGCCTCCGAGGAGCAACACCCCCCCAGCCCTCCCCTATTTGGGTTCTTTGAGGCGCGGTCGCAGTCCGCGCCTTTAGGGGGGGGTACTGTCACGCTCTGGCTCCGGGACTTTGTATTATTGAGCCAGGGTGTGTTCATTTTTGTTGTGTTTGGGGATTAGTTGGGTTGTTATTGGTTGTTTCATTGTTTGGTCCAGTGACTCCCAATCAGTGGTAACG